CATTCTTCAAAGAAATAGAACAATTATTGATGAAATTCATATGGAATCACAAAAAACCCTGAATAGCCAAAGCTCTCCTGAAAAAAAAAGAAGGGAATGGAGGCATTACACTCCCAGACTTCAAACTATACTACAAAGCCATAATCATCAAAACTGCATGGTATTGGAACAAGAACAGACATACAGACCAATGGAATCGAATAGAAAATCCAGAAATAAATCCACAGATTTATGGTCAACTAATCTTTGACAAAGGAGCAAAGACTATGCATTGGAGCAAAGAAAGTTTGTTCAATAAATGGTGCTGGGAAAACTGGGTCGCTACATGCAAAAAAAAAAAAAAAAAAAAAAAGAATTCATCAAGTCTTTAAAGTGGTAACATCTACTTACATACAGTCTCTGAAAAGCTTCATTTCTTAAACTGTTATCAATACAGACAAATTTTCTGAAACAATGTTTTGAAGATTTGACAACTTATTCTTTTAGTTAGTAAAGCAGAAAAGGGAAACTTTGTAATAATTGCTACATCAGTATTATAAGTTTCTGTTTCATTGCATGTAATTGAAAATTAAAGTCTCATTATTCATGGGCTCCATATCTGTAAATTCATCTACTTGCTAAAATTTATGTATGACCCAAAATTGCTACTGGTGTACAGACAGGTCTGACTGTCCCACTGACTTTTGGTGACTCATGCATTTAACTTGTAATTTCTTTTAGGTACCTGGGCATTTTTGTCCTCAATCCAATAGCTTTTTTGAAAAGCATATTTAGTGCAAACACTAAAAATAAGCTTCAGGTTCCAAAAGGAAGCATAAGCATGAGAAATTGCTCTTGACATTAAAGATGTTATAAATATGTAAAGCCAAATGAAACCTAAAGATTATTTAGCTCCATCTTTTTTGGTTTTGATTGATATTCAGAAAAGTTCATGTCACTCATTAATGAATGTAATTTGTGTCAACCATTGGCAGAGCTGGGACCAGAAGCAAATGCTTCTGCCTTCTGTCTGATTTTCTAGGGAAAATACTGGGGTAAGAATGAAGGGGAAATGCTTGGTCACAGTGTTCAAACTGGTAAAGTCTGTATTATCTTTATTCATTAGAAATTAAGTATTGACACTAAAACTGTAGTGAAAAGTCATTCTTCTTGGAGATGAAGGTTGTATTCTTGTTTTTCTTTAATATAAGCACTAGATTAAAAATGTTAAGTTATGTACCAGTTAAAACACTATTTCTGGGCCTCCCCGGTGGCGCAGTGGTTGAGCGCTGGGCTGCGAAGCTGCCTGGGCCTCGCAGCGGCGGTTCGATCCCCGGCCGCCAGGCGAGGGTCCCACATGGTGTGCAGACCTCTCCTGCCACGCCCGCTGCTCCCCTCAGCAGTGTATTTCATAGGTCTGCCTGTTCTGTTCCCCGCTCTGGCTCTGGTGAATTCTCTCACCCTCCCATGCTTTTGACTATACTCAGTACTTGTATAAATAAATAAATAAATCTTTAAAAAAAAAAAATTGCTACTAGTGTAGCTCTCAGGTTTATTCACAGACATATGCAGAGCAGCAAAGGCTCTGAGCTTCCTGGACCTCAGTCTCTCAGCTATGTGGAAGGAGCAGAAGTGCTTTGTAGGGTAAATGAATTAATCAGGCTTTTTGCACCACTGGCCTCTGTGGTCATCACCTGTGGCCTCGATGGTGTTAATGCAGAAGGCACTTGGGAGTGTGGGTGCGAGGCACGTGTGCCTGATTGTGGAGCATGGGTGTGTGCGCATGTGCAAGTGTGCACACCTGATCCTAGAGGTCAGGGATATAAAGGTGGCGTCACTCAAAGACAAAGGCTACGGGGGACATGTACGGGAGGACAGCTACGGGAAGACAGCTACTATGAGTGAGTACAGAAGAGGCAAGACCACAAGAGAACACCAGAGAGCCCAGAGAAAGTGCAAAGATCCACTGGGGTCTGGAGGGCTTGTTTGCTGCCAGCCTCCTGTCCTCCACCCCTCTCCATCCCCCCAATACCATCCACCCGCCCCCAACTCTCCCCTCCACCCTGTCCTACACCTGGTTGGCCTACAACCTGCTTTGATTTCTGTTGCACATTCATACTATAAATGAGTGTCCTTGTCCTGATCTATGTGGTGCCAGGTTTTTCACGTTTCTGTACTTTTTTTGTGATTAGGCTGCGTTAAAAGGCCTCCAAGTGTACTGTTGAAATGCCTTCTGTTCCTATGTGCAAGGGTCCTGCAGCATTGATCTCATTTAACTGGGTACATAAAACTGAAAATTTCTCTGAGGAATTCTGAAGGAACAAATCAGAATGAAGTGAAAGCAGCCATGTTGGGCAATATTCTAATAGTTCTCCTAGATTTCCCACTCTAATCCAGGGGGCTGAATAGGATGAGAGTCTCTACCTGTGCTTATATTATGTGGCCAAAGCAATTTTGCAGGAATAATTAAGGTTATTAGCGAGCTGCCTTTGAGTTAATCAAAATGGAGAGGATCAGGGTGGGTTTAATCTCATCATAGTCCTTTAACAACAGAGTTTCTTCTATGATAAACATAAGTCAGAGAGATTCAGCTTGTGAGAGAAACTTAACCAGAGGGAAGGTTTCCATTCCTGGCAGTGAATGGAGTCAGAGCAAGAAGCTAAGAATAATTTCTAGGACTGAATTGGTCTCTGGACAAGAGTCAGCTTATAACCTCCAGGATTTGAATACTTCCAAGAAATTGAAAGTACTTAGAAGAGTTTTCTTCCCCAGAACCTCCACACCTTGATGCTGGGCTTGAGACACAAAACAGAAAACACAGCTAAGCCTACTCACTTATGTACGGAATTTTGAAATAATAAATCAATGTTGATCTAAACTAGTTGGAGTGATCTGTTGAATTGTAAAAGAACACTAATTTATCTGAAGTGACAGGCCCTGGAGAAACACTGGGAACTGGACAAATCTGGGGTGAGGGAATGCAGAGTTCCTCATGAAACCTGGATCTCTGGGTGCAGGGGATAGGCTATTGTGGGGTGGTGACCTGCCTGCTATGGAAGCTTCAAGAGAACCTGTGATTTTTTTTTTTAAAGGGGGTTCTCGATTTTCTGGTGGCTCTCCTATGTGATCACAGGTGTGTTCCAGAAAAGAAACAGATGAGCATAGTGACATTTTGCTGGCCATGAGGAAAGAATCTCGTTCACTGAGAAGGTCTTTGCACTTAAACATTTCTTCTCTTGGGTCTCTATAAATTCTGTTATGTATCTCCTAAGAGTGGCTATATAATGGGCTGTGTTCTTCATACCTCAGTGAGAACTGTAGCCTCATTTATATAATACAATAATTCATGTATGCAGATATATCATACAACTAAACTAGACATCCAAATAAATCAAGTACATATTAACAGAATGATTTTAAAATAAAAACGTTAACAGACCAATTGTCGTAGTCCTTGTTGCTGAAAGGACATGTCTGGGATGTATCTAGAAGATCTAAATATATTTTTGTCTAGCAAAAAGGGGATGCTGGTAGCTACATAAAATAGAGAAAATAACCCTTTTCTAGATATAAGACTCTCTTTAGTTTTTACTCTATCCTATGATTAAAAAGAGAGAGAGAGAGAGAAGTTTCTTTAGATGTATCCATAAGGTTGACAACTCATAGTTTCTATTCCTTTTTTTTTTTTTTTTGAGATTTCTTTAGAAAAGGAAATTGAGTCCTGCCTTCATTTTGTGCTGTCCTTCCTGCACACAAGGACAGTGACAATTGATAAAATTTTTGTGATCATCATGTCCTTAATCATAAGATAGTTTAGTTGGTCACACAAAATATAATTTATTTTTCTTAATATGACATTTCTAAGCAGGAAGAAAACAGGTAATATGGATACACATATATGATAATTACATATTTTTTTAAAAATCAGCATCTGTATTGCAGTACTATAGACTACATTGTGATTTCTCAATTTCAACTCTGAAAGTGTTTAAATGAATTCCAATTAAAATAAACTATTCAGGGATGAATGAAGATTTTAGGCTAAAAATAACATTAAACAGTATTTAATTTTAAATTTAATTTTGCATACAAGGTGAACTATTAAATTCTTGAAAAAGCAAAGTTAATGTAAGTGCATACATGGATAAATGACTGACTTCTATGAATACAACTACAATTATCCAAAGTCATCTGGGAACAACATTTTTTACAAATATTCACTTTTTAAAACAGGCAAATAGAGATGGGAATCTTTTACAGTGGTGTCATCTATTTGCTTGACTGATTCTCATCATCTTAGGGACTGGATTGTCTATTTGGGGGCCCTTTGGGAGAGTAAAGTGAATGCACTTGCTGATCCTCCCTAAACTACCTCTTGCAATATTTGCAAAATGGCTTTGTTCTTGTACCTCTTTCCTTGATTTTTCACTTGAATATACATTCCATCTTCTTAATTTGCTTCTTTTATCTGTTGCTATCTTGGGGACACTGGAGAAACCATCTTGTTAAAATTATGTATTGAAGAAGCTTTTTTAAAAACCACTAAGTGAGATTATTGAGATAAAGTGTCTGGAATTAAATGCAGGGAATATGTCAGCTGTCATCTTGGTAAGTACCTTCTGGCTGATTGAATTTACCAGAAGTACTAAGCTAAATGAGATATTACTGTGTTATTAATATTAGATGAAAGTCTTTTCTTTTCCTTTAAGATGAGATAATTGTAGGAGAAATATGACAAAATCAGAGGTAGAAGATGTGTTTTAATGAAACATCTAGTTATAGATGAAAGAGCAATAAGGCAATAGCATATTGTAGTTGAAAGTCTGTCATATCAGACAAAAGAGATTTAAGATAGTCCTGTATTTCCAGATCAATCACCCATTATTTTTGTGACTTTGGCAGAAATATACTTTCTCATGGATCTCATTTCTAACTTCTAGTAAACTTATTTCTTTAAAAACTAAAGACTTCAATTAAATTATATTCTTTGGTCTGGCAATGGAAATTGGGTGTGCCTATGAATGCCTCCATTGAGAAACTTGTAATGTGTTTATTTGGGTCTAATTTTTGGAATCAAGAATGGGAGTAATATCGATGAAAACATAAAAACCCACTCATTGACTTAACAAGAAAAAAAAGTCTTGAGTGTTGAGCTCATGATCTAGAAATTATAAATGCAAATTTATCTTAATGGAAGAAATTTTGCATGATAAAGGCATAGTTAAATAATAAGTTAGGATTCATTGGTGTGTCTCATTGTGTGTCTTCAACTTGATCCAGATGCCATTAGTTGGACGAAGAATCAGATCTCCTGCCAGGCCAAGTTCTTCTCTTTTCTGGTTGCATTCTACCCAAAAATGTCTCAGGATGCAGGAAAGAATGGTCTTTTCTTCCATCATGGCAAACTTTTGACCTTTAAATTAGTGTAAACACCATGAATTTAGTTATAGGTATATTTCAAATGGGAAAATAACACTGATTTGGAGGAAACAAGCTGTTTTGTATTCAGAGCAGGTCTTGGGATAACCAGGACCAGCTGGGAAGCTATTTAAAAATGAATCTTGAGTTCCCTTCTCTGTTCATACCCATTGTATCTGACTGCTGGGGTGGACCAGGAAATCTGTATTTTAGCAATACTCCAGATGAATCCTGGGCTCCTTAAATCATGAAAATCCCTACTTTAAATCACCTTCTTACATAGCCTTTAGTGTAACTTACGACAATCTCCAAATATGATTCAGATTCATCCCCTTAAATCTGACGTCATGTCACTATACCTGCTTTTACATAAATAATAAAATGCGAGAGATGCTAGAGCCAAAGTTGTTTATAATGATGATGATGTACATTATTTTTTTTAAAGTAGTTCAGCTGGGCATGTTGTAAATTTTCATTGTTTTATATTTGTAGAATACCATTCATAGAAAACCCCACAAAAAGTAAGTTAAATAATTATTAAATTTTAAATGTAAAAGGTATATTCTATTTTAACACAAAATATACAACATGTGTCAGTTTTACCATGAAAGTGATTATTTTTTATGTTAAGGGCTGAATTGTGTGTTCCCTATCCCCCTAAATTCATATGTTGAGTCCTAACATCCCGTACTTTAGAATGTGACTGTGTTTGGGGATATAACTTTTAAAAGGAAATGAAATTAAAATGAGCTTGTATACATGGACTGTAATCCAATGTGACTGATGTCCTTAGAGAAAGAAGAGATTAGGAAACAGACACACACAGAAGAAAGATCATGTGTTGATACAGAAGATGAACATCTACAAGCCAGACACAGTCCACAGAAGAAACCACCAAGATCCTGGACTCTAGCCCCTAGAACTACGAGAAAATAAATTTCTGCTTAAGCCACCAGTGTAGTACTTTGTAAACTAGTACAGTGAATGATGGTAACATCTTAAAAATAATGCATGGTAAGATGTAGAAAAAAGGAAAGCAATTTTTTAAGAGCTGCAATGGACCACCACATTGCAAAGAATGTGAGAAACCCTCTGTCGTGTGACCTAAAAGGTCAAACCAACTCAGATGGATACAAACCTATACAGTTTCTTGGTCCAGCAGAGAAGGGCACATACGCATATGGATGGCGTCCTTGTGAGTTTTCTGGAAAGAACCTTTCTGGCTTGAAATCCTCGGGGTCTGGGAAGAACCTGGGGTCTCTGTGCAGTGCATAGGTAATGACGATTACTTCAGAGCCTTTCACGATTCTGTGACCCGCTGTCAAAAAGAAAGTTGCCATTCCATAAGAATGAAGCAAGACAGACATACAAGCATCCATTTTCCTACTATTCTATTGTATAATACATACCAATTTTGCAGTCGTCATTAAGGTGTCTGGAAAATAAAGGCACTGAAGGAAAAAGGCGAAGGGTCTCCTTAACAACACATTCCAGATATTTAAGTTTCTTCAGGTCCTCTAAGGTAGCAGGACGATCAGACCTTCCTGATTAAAGGAAATACACGAAATGTCAATGAAAGAAATGTTGGGCTGGGACATGGGTGGTCCGGGATGTGGGTGTTAGATAGCTTCCGATGAAGTAGAACTTCTGCTACTACATATAATCAGAATAAAATGAGACAATATGCTCAATAAAAGAAACCAGACCCAAAAATATCACAAATGCATGATTCCACTTATAGTAAATACTCAGAATAGGTATACTCAAAGAAAGTAATCAGAGACTGGGGAGACAGAACTGGAAAGTGGCTGATTAACGGCACAGGGTTTCCTTTTTGGGGTGCAGAAATGTTTTGGAATGAGGTAGAGGTAACATTGTACAACACTGTGAGTGTACTGAGCTGCATATTTTTAAATGCTTAATTTGAAGTCTCAGAATTTCCTTCCAGAAGTGCTTTTTTGGGTCAGATTCTTGGATTTGCACCACAGTATGCCCCCACATCCCTTCCCCCACCTCAGACAAAGAAACCAAGACAACTCTAGGCCTTAGACACATCCACTTCCCTGGTTTGGTGGAGGGAGAAAAACAATAGCGAGAAGCAACTGAACATATTGATAAAATACAAAATGAAATAGACTTCATGCAGAACCCAAATGTGGAGATTTTACAAGCAGAAAAGAAATAAAAGAAAAGCCAATTACATTTCATCAGAAGAAATTTAAATTCACCACCAAAGTCTCAAATTGCAGGGTAACATTTGTCCACCAGACATAAGTCTACACTGCTTGGAGAAGATGAGGAGTTGCTCTGTTCTTAGACTAGAGTTGAAGTGACACTGTAACACAGGAATCTCCATAAAAAGGGGAGGTTCCAGTTTCCCTGCTGCACCTAATGAGAAGAGCTGAGCAACCAGGTGAAGCTTTAGAAGGTTTGAAGGAGACACGGGAGAGGAGAGAAGTGGAGCAGAGAGACCCGTGAAGAAGGCTGCCTTTCCGGAGAGAAGACTATGACTACTAGAAAACCTTTATGCTTTATATACAAATGTCTATTTCATCTGTTAAGCAGGGAGACTCTTGAGGACAGTGACATCTGTTTGCATCCCCAACATCTAGCCCAGTGCAGTCACAAGCCAGGCAATTAGCAAATGCCTTTAAGTGAATGCAGAAGGCAGAGGACATAGGCTAGGGAGGGGATCCCCCTGGGGGTATCCCCATGGGGGTCTTCTGCCATTGTAATGTCTTTTTTTTTAAATAAATTTTATTTTTATAATCCCCACACAATTGCAACCCCCTTATTTTGACCCCAATCCCTCCCTCCCCGCCCCCCCACCCCCCATAGAATGTCTCTGGTTCATAGCTTTTTGCTAATTTTGATTTTCACTTTCTTATAGTTATTCATTTTCCTGGTCCCTTATTTAAGTTTTCTAAATTCCTCTATGAGTGAGACCATCCGGTATTTTTCTTTTTCTTTCTGGCTTATTTTGCTGAGCATGATCCCTTCCAGCAAAAATATGGAATGCTTCACGAATTTGCGTGTCATCCTTGCGCAGGGGCATGCTAATCTTCTCTGTATCGTTCCAATTTTAGTATATGTGCAGCCGAAGCGAGCACCATTGTAGTGTCTTTAGAGCAGGTCCTGCACATCCTGATGAGAGAGAACACCACTGACTTAGAGGACTCGGGACCCAAGTATAACGACTGAAGGGCGCACCGTACCAAACACTCCCTCCAGCTCCTTGTGCACTTCTCTCTGGACTTCTGGGTAAGAACCCAGCAGGTATAAAGCCCAGTTCATTGCAGCTGCAGTTGTATCATGGCCCTACAAATGGAAGGAAAAAATAATTTAAAAGCCGAGCAATAGTGAGAAGAACAGCAATAATTCCACTTTGAATTCACAGAGGCAATGTGGCTGCAGAGCACAGCAAATTAACTCTGCACAGCAAGTCACTGCAGTGAGACACAGAAATGCTGGAGATTCACACTTAGATTTTTCGTGCTACACAGAGTTGCCAGAAGTTTTAATAAGGGGACTTCCAAAGGAACTAATGTGTGAGACTTTTTGTTTGTTTGTTTTTTGTGGAACCCTCGCCAGTGCCAGGGAACAAACCGGCGCTGCAGAGGCTGCGGGCAGTCTCGCAGCCCGTGCTCAACCGCTGTGCCACCAGGGAGGCCCTATGTGAGGCTATTTTTAAAGGGAATAAATTCTGACTTTCCTGAGTCAAACTGCTATATCTATACTTCTCTACCTTCCCATTTGTAAGGTAGGTTCTACCTGTCAGAGCTGGACACCGGCGATTATGTGTGGGTCTGTGTCATGTTCTCCTCATGACATGTTGGTAGGTAGCCACATTTAATACTTGCTGAGTTTTAGGAAAAATATGAAGTACTTTGCACAAATGAACTCCTTTTACTTCAAAAAAACTTGCATGAAATGTTTGATGCTGCTAGTCAGATTTTAGAGATTAAACCAATGAAAAAAAATGTTAAATAACTTCCCCAGAGCCAGATGCCTTAGTAGGAAGAAAAGGTAGAAATAGAACCCTCAGGGTCCACGCTATTCCCCTCTGCCAGTGGTCTGGGATAAGGATGTTTAGACAACTTTGTTTTCTGCTCATTGTTGTAGGCCTTTGTTTCATATGTTCCATCCTCATCTTTTTTTTTTTTTTTAAGATTTATTTATTTATGCATACAAGAGCTGGGGTACAGGCCAGAGATGCAGGGGGGTGAGAGGAGTCACCAGAGACAGAGTGGGGAACAGAACAGGCAGATTGACCAAAGTACACTGCTGAGGGGAGCAGCGGGCGAGTCAGGAGAGGTCTGCTCCGCCATGTGGATTTCTCCCTAGCCAGCCGGGGATTGAACTCATGCTGCAGGGGATGTGGAAAGCTTCAAAGTGTGGTGCTTAACCCTTGTGCCACCAGGGAAGCCCCCATCCTCAACAGGACATTTCCAATACAAAAATGGTGGGTTCTTCTGAATAAAATGTTATGTATTTGAGGAAATGAAAATAGTTGTATAAGGTTTTAGAGAAAACATACATTCCCCTCTATGGATGATCTTATTTTTCCATTTTCCTAGCCAACAAATGATCATAGTAATATTTTAGTCTCTGGGTAGAAACCTTCAAATCATTTGTCTTATTTGCTTTCTTTTTTTCCTATACTATATTTTTATGAAAGTGACATTGTATTATGGCAGTGATGCCGGAAATAACATAATAGGCAATACCTCAAACATGAAGGTATCAACTTCTTCTCGAATATCATCATGACTTAGCTTGTTCCCTTGATCATCAGTTACATTTAAAAGCAAGTCAAGAAAAGCCCTGCGTTTATTTTTGGAGGAGGCGGTGCCCTGGTGGTCAGTTGGATTTTCTTCCTCCCTCTTCATTTCATTGGCCCGTTCAGCTATGACCTGTGTGATACAAGCATCACATACTTTGTTTGGAATTTATGTTAACACATTTTCTCAACAAAACATATTTGGTTCTTTGCTTCAACTCTTCTATCATTTCTATCTCAACAATAACTTGGGTTCTTGTGAATATAACACATCCTGTTGATACTTTAGAACATTATTCAATAAGGCTCTTGAAAATAAATTTAATGTCAGACAAATTCATACTCTTCAAGTGCAATTTGTGGTTTTTCCTAAACAAAAATAGAATAACTGTCTACTTGATAGGGACTTACAGTTTGGATGGAGTTAATGATAACCAGTTTAGGTGGCAGAAGGAATGCAATCATCATCCGATAGACTAATTGTAGATCCCTCTAATTACATATTGTATTTAGAGAAAATAAAGTGGGAAGTTGATTCATCAGTTTACCCTAAGTGCCTGCTGTGCCTTCTGTCTACAATGCTGTTTACTAAGACACCAGCATGGTGGTGACCTCTCTTCCTCCAGGCCTCTGCTCATCTTCACATCAGAAAGGCCTTCTCTGATGGCTGCAAGGCTGGTTCCTAGCACTCACTGTCTTCCTTACACTATGTTTTCCCATTACACTGAACACTTGACATTATAATGTACTTCTTCTTTAGCATCTTCCCCAACTTGAAGAACTCATCCATAGAACAGCTAATTTGTCTTCATTTGTTGATATATTTCCAACCTTTTCAACACTGCTTGGCATTTTAAGGAATGCTCATTTGATATGTTTTGAATGAGAAAAATAAAAGTCCATAAACTTAATTTGGCTATATATGTCACTTTCTTCTCCTATCAGGAAATACTAAATCTGTACTAGGTGTTTTTGAGGGCAAAACACTAACTTCTTTTGCATTTGATGGAGGTCCCAGAGCCTAGAGGTCTGTGTGGAATTGTCAATATTTATTGATTGAGTGCTATTTTATATCTAACTTAGAATTATTTGTTTATATATACTGATACTAATGTGTGAAATTTGAGGCAAAATGTAATTATACCCATAAAACATGAACTGTTTGCCATTCTCCTACCATGAGGTGATTATATACCTTAAAGGTGGCCAGCTTAACAAATGTCTCATTTATCTAGCATCTGCTGACTTAGTAACACTTGCTCTGCTGGTGATGGGATGAACCTCATTGTAAGGAACCAAATCCAACACATTAAAAAAAATTATAGCAAGGAGAGAAAAAATTTAAACAATTGAGATAGTATTTTTAAATCAAAATTTGATATACTTTTCAATAAAATTTTGCTTTTTTCATACACACATCTTTAATATAATTGACATCCTATATTCACAACACCACTATCACCTGATTGTATTTGAATTGGATATAAAACAACAATTTCTAGTTACTTTTCATCTTTTACAAGTAAAGATACTGCTATACATTTCCCTTTGCCTTTGAAAATTCTTGCCTAATCCAAACATTCTCAAGAAGAGTCTGCAAACATAGATCCTTGTCTTTTATTCTTGTAACAAACTCTTAATAAAAGTTCATAACTCATCTCACTTTTTGTTTACATATAACCTCTCCTACTAGACTAACCTTTAGCATACACTTGCTTCACTGTTTGATATCTAGCAAGGGCTAAATTAATATTTGCTGAATATATAGGTAAAATTGTGCTGCCTATTTCTTTCCATTATTATTGAACTTTTATCTTGGAAGAAACCAGTTCCACAGTCCTACACTGGGCATGTTAACAAATAATAAAAATCATGAACTTATAAAAATACTGGAGGTGGACAATGTTAATGGTTGCATAATATTGAGGATGTGCTTTATACCATCAAAGTGCCTATTTAAAAGAGGAATAAAGGTCACTCATATTATGAACATTTTGCCACAATGGGAACTTACATTTTTGGTAAAATTATGTAGAATCATTAGGCTCCTCTTGTGTTCCTTTCCGTCTTTAAACATAAGGAATATTCGATCAGGCCAGAGCCAGGGCATCTTGATTCTTCGAAGTAAGATATCACTCATTCTATAAATAGTATAGAAATATATCAGCAGGTGTATCTGCTCTGTATTTCTTGAGCATCTATTTGGTGCCTAGTCTCAATGAGGGTAAGATAGGGTGGCGAAAATGATTTTTCTGAGAGGTGATTAAGAGCCTCATGATTTAAGCTCATCAGTGAAGGCATGGAATGTTACACACCCAATGAAGTTTAACTTTTTGATGAGTTTTTAGATGATTAAGGAATCTTACAAACAGCTTTACTAGTTAACCATCTGATCACTGCTTCTGTTTCTCCAGAGAGTGCTGGCTCCCAAGGCTGCCTGTGGCTCTTGCTTCACCTGTTAAAGAGATGATCTGCCTTTTTTTAAAATCCACTCATTGGCTTGATCACTCCTCTGGAATGACAGAAAACAACTGGCTGCCCTATTCTACAGAAAAGTGCTTGGTGCATGGTAAGTGCCAATCTGCCCACCGCTGCCCCAAACACAGCTCTTATCATTTGCAGTGATGGAGCAGGAAGACTCATGTCTTTTACTTCATGACAGAATGAGATGCCCATTCTTCAGGGTAGCCTTCCTTGGCCACTCAATGGGTATTTCTATTTTCTTCTCTAACAGCAAATTGATCTTTCCTTTTAACCATGTATTATAATTTATAAATTTATATTTGTTTCAAAAGCTATCTCCCAGGCCATTCTGTCTGTTGTGTGCCACAATAAAACTAGTCCGTACCTTGTGCAATAAATGGGAGGTCATGGGTGCTCAATAATTATTATAATTTAAAATGAAATGAGCAGTGAAGTTTAATGACAGAACATGTCAAATGATATCCTAGACCTACTTTTAATAACTGAATAATATCATAAGCAATTTTAAAAGTAAAATAAATTATGTCAACTAAAAGCTAATACAGTGTAGAAAAATATGGGACAGGTGAATAAAAACAAACATAATACACAATAAGAAAGAGAAACAACAAAAGACCATATAGTATCATCTAATTTTTTTCTTTCTATGAATAACTTTTTTATCTAGTGGCTAGCAGACTATAAGACATGCTTATCTCCTGCTATCAATTAGTATCATAATGTAATGATTCAATCTCATGCATAATTGTCATTTAAAATTACGGCTGAATATACATTGTATAAATGATTGTCAAATCATTAAAGTTGGAAAAATATGTGCCATAAATTATATACCATTCCTCTATTGTTGAAATACATGCTTAAATATTAGTTTAATTTGTAGTATAACGTCCATTAAGGAACAATGGAAAACACAAGCAAAAATCATAAACAATGACTACTTTAAAGCCTTAATTATGAACAATTTAAAAAACAATAAAAAGGCCTCCATTTACCTATAAACAGCACGTACATACTCAGAATCTTCATGACTTTGAGCATTAATATTCTTCCCCATAGCAGTTTCTATAAAATATGGTGAGGAACAAACATTCAATTCATGCACATTTCTTGTGTTTCTTTTCCAGGGGCAGACACTTGACCAAAAAAAGACAAATCCTGTTTGGTTCTTGTATATTTTAAAGTCCCCCCATCCCCTCTTCTCCTGCAATTTCTGCTCCCCTGCTCCATGCCCCTTCTCTCTCTCTCCTTTCTCCTTCCTGGCAGGTGGACTCTGGCTGTTCTGCTCTCAGCCCTGCGCTGTTCTCAGGCAGTGGGCTCCACAGTAGGCCCACCCTGGAGAATCCAGCATCCTTTCCAACCCCCTCCCATACCTTTCCATGAACAATAGCTCTTTTCCATTTGGGTCACATTGTCTTTACACTAATGGGTGAGACTCACCACAGATGATATCTAGGGCACACAGTGTGATGTAAGAAAAGCAGTTAAATTCTTCTTGGTTAACATGTCTCTCAAGCTTATTAATCAATATATTTGCTTGTTTGTTCATGACATCTAAGAAGTTCTCCAGAATTGTAAAATGGAAAGTGGGTGTTAACATTTTTCTGCGAGCATGCCATTTGTTTCCAGTACTAGAAAAACAATGCACCGTGACAAAAGAGAAATAAATAAAGTACAAATACAGTCATGTCAGCAAAAACCGCATGAAATAGCTGAATCTACAGATTCTCAAATGCTTTAGTCAAAAATACAGTGATTCATCTATATGTATAGACTATATATTTTACATATTATTCTATATTATTAATGTTTACGTATTTTAATTTCTAAATTCTGAGATGCTAAAACTTAGATTTAATTCCTTAATTCTCTGATGATGCACCTGCTCCTGATGCTGCTTTATCTCCATCATGAGTTTTCCAAAGTCCGCATGATGGTCTCCTTTCTCTTGCTAGGTAGGCCCTCTCCCAGAGCATGGGTTCCTAACCTGGATGCAAGCTCAAGAATTGGGGTTACTGCCCTCCATATTCTTCTCTGAGACTGGCTGTCTTTTTCATTTGCTTTTCAAGATTCCCTGTGCCAAACTCTCATTTCCTTCACTCTGTTGGGACATGAGGACCTCCTGATTCTCTTTTGAAAACAGGTGATCATTGGGCCTCCCCGGTGGTGCAGCGGTTGAGTGCTGGGTTGCAAAGCTGCCCTCAGCCTCTGCAGCGCCGGTTCGATACCCGGTTGCTCCCAGCCACTGGAGGAGGGTCCCACATGGCACGCAGACCTCTCCTGCCACCTGCTGCTCCCGTCAGAAGTGTACTTCGGTCCTTCTGCCTGCTCTGCTCCCCGCTCTGGCTCTGGTGAATTCTCTCACCCTCCCGCGTTCTGACTGTACCCAGTGCTTGTATGTATTAATAAATAAATAAATAGATAGATAGATAGATAGATAGATAGATAAAAAAATAAATAAATCTTTTAAAAAAAAAGAAAGAAAATAGGTGATCATTACTGAAGATGGTGCCTGGAGATCACCATCACCATGCGCCTCCTATTTGTTTAAGACCCATAGTTAGCCAGACCTATCTTTATAGCTTCTCCCTTACATCCTGACAGCACAACCTAACTACAGAACAACCGTGTGTCAATTTTTAATATATCAAGTTATGCATTGAAACAACTATTTCTACTAACAGCTTTACAAATTGATATTGACATACCTTGTAAGAAGTCCTAGGCCAAGCCATGGTTCTAAAAAATTGTACAGATAGGACTTGTCAATTTGCCTTGAACTAGTCACAATTACCTTAGAAAGAAAAAAAGAATATTTGAGACATATATAGACATCAAACAATCTCAGTGATAAGGATATCTGCCTAGAACACACCTACTTGAAGCAACATTGCATCGCCATTATTTCTCTGTGATTCATTTTCATTTCTCTGCCTGGAAGAAATTCAATTAGAGATCTGAATCTTTAACTGTCAGAAAACTTGGTGACTAAAAGGAGTTGAGAGAAAGGAAAATGGTCTAAGATGATTTCTTGTTTCCTATCATAACCTAGGATCTAGTTATGTATTAAGCAAGTGCGCTGGGTGGGGAGCATGGGCAGGTGAATCCAGAGATGGACTACATCTAGGGAGATGAGAATCACTTTTCAGATTTGAATTTTGCCTCGTCTATAAGCAGATGTGAAGCTCAGGCTAAAAGCTGGAGCCAGAGGTACACATCTGAGTGTCTCCAGCAGACACCTAACACTGGAAGCCAGGGGTGTGACTAGGTTGCCTATTCGCAAAGTGAAGTAGAACATTTAGTGGATCAACATTGGCTCCTTTACTCTAACAACACTCTGCCACCTATTCCTAATCTATGTACTCTAGGTCATGGGTCTCTCTAGTGCCCTCACGATCCACTCTGAACTAGGGTTCCAGTTGTGGTACAAGAGAAACGCCAACATTTTCACCATAGTAACTAAGAAAGACTCTTCCAGCACTATTCCCTAGAAATTTCCATTTTTAACTTTGTTCCAAAAAGAGAAACTCTATTTACTTCATTTTTATTCTCACCCAAATCCTTTTCTCATCAAACCACAAGATAATTTATTTCACCAGTGTCCCATAATAAGTAACAAGTATACATTCTTTGGAGGATTAATTTCAATCACACAGAGTATCTACATCTGTCCTATTAATATCAGATTAGCATTGTCTTTTAGGAAAGTTAATTTGGAATAGTACTTTTTTTTTTTTAAAGATTTATTTATTTATTTACACAAGCACTGGGTACAGTCAGAAGCTCAGGAGGGTGAGAGAATTCACCAGAGTCAGAGCGGACAGCAGAGCAGGCAGACTGACGAAGTACACTGCTGAGCAGTGGGCAGCAGGAGAGGTCTGCGCGCCATGTGGGACCCTTACCCAGTGGCCGGGGATCGAACCGGCGCTACAGAGGCTGTGGGCAGCTTCGCAACCCAGCGCTCAAACGCTGTGACACCGGGGAGGCCCTGGAATAGTACTTTTATAATGAATATAGGATGAGACTGTGAGCCCATTCAGGGAAACCCTCGTATTAACTAGTATATATATTTTTTATCTCCAAACAGTGCCTGGCAGATGCCATATGCGACCCTTGTGGAATCTGAAATGGTTCTATAAAATGTCTGCTTCTGCAGACTTTCCAGAAAGGGAAACAAACAAATGGGCACCTGACACCCAATGTTCCCTGATATCTGGTGGCTGCTGCTCTCCGAGGACTCAGAGTCCGCTGCAAAGCAATGAATGCTCCTATCCAGCTGTAATAAAGTTGTCAACACTTGCTCATGTGCTTAACATAATTAAATATATGGAAATAGTCACTATACTGATTCTGATCTCACACCATTAAATACAGAGTGGAATAGTGATCATGTCTACCCTGTACTCACCTCCACACTTTCTGCGTTATAAAGGGTCACCACTGGCATTGGCCCAAGCCAGAGTTTGACCAGTGGCAGGTGTCGGAATTCTTCAGTATATTCAATTAACTGCTGGAAAAATTCTGTAAAAAAATAATTTTTTAAAAGATTTATTTATTTATGCATACAAGAGCTGGGGCACAGGCCAGAGATGTGGGGGGTGAGAGGATCCACCAGAGATAGAGTGGGGAACAGAACAGGCAGACTGACTGAAATACACTGCTGAGGGGAGCAGCAGGTGAGGCAGGAGAGGTCTGCTGTGCCAAGTGGGTTTCTCCCTGGCCGGGAATCGAACTCATGCTGCAGAGGCTGTGGATTGCTTCATAGTGCAGTGCTTAACGCCTTGCATCACCAGGGAGGCCCAAAAAGAATAAATTGTTTTTTTAAAGATATATTTATTTATACAAGAACTGGAGTACAGGCCAGGTGCGCAACAGGGTGAGAGGATTCACCAGAGACAGAGCGGGAAACAGAACAGGCAGACTGAAATACACAGCTGAGGGGAGCAGCGGGTGAGACAGGAGAGGTCTGTCTGCGGAGATGTCCACATGGTGAGACAGGAGAGATCTGTCTCACCATGTGGGCATCTCCCCAGACAGCAGGGGTAGATCTGGCACTGCAGAGGCTACGGACAGTTTCACAGTGCTGCGCTCAACCACCTGCGCCACCAGGGAGGTCCAAAAAATAAATATTTTTAATTAAAAGTAACTAACTCAGTCAAGATGACAATTTTGTAATAGGTCCCTTAGAATGTCTATTTGGGTATTTTTTTTAACTTTGGGGAAGTCACTGTCTCCAAAGGTCTCATTCTTAAAGGTAAAGTACATCATCCCTAGAAACTGATGATTGAATTATGAGGGTAATTTAATTTAATTATGACTATACAACATATATTAAACAACCAGGTTAATTGTGATGTGCCAAACTTCAAATCAACAAGAAAGAACAATTTTGTCTACATAAGAACCACATTACATGGATTTCCTAAGTGCCTGGAGGTTATTCAATTTCTCTAGTGTCTTGCAGCCCCTTTATAGGGAGGGAAACCTATTCATCCTTCCACTGGGTGGGCTGTAGTTTTGTTAATAAATGGCGTTATACAAATGTTAATTGTTTAGTTTTCATAATTGTATTAATCATATAATAATTCACCAGTAGAGGAGCTGGGTAAAAGGCATATGTGAATTTTCTACTGTTTTGTGACTTTTCTGTGGGTCTAAAACTATTTCAAAATACATAAAATTTTGAAATGAAAAAGGAAGTATATTTTTCTGAAGGTGGAGAGTAAGAAGTAAGCTGGAGGAGGATTAAAAAGATATTTCGTTGACTTGGAGAACACTTACATACAAATTTATTGTAATTGACTAATGTCTGTATCTCCGCTCATATAGGACAAAAGGTTTTACTTAATTCAAATGGTGGAATTGGTTTGGAAATGTGAAAAAATAAGGAAAAGTTCTCATAGTGAATAAAAGAAAAAAATCATTGACCTTACGAATTTTATTGAGAGGCTTTGTGGACAGCATAATGATTAGATGGGCAAATTTTATAGTTAATGAAGTCAATTTTTGATTACAAATCCAAAACGAGAATTAAGAAGCTGGAAGTACCTGCGTGGCTCACACATGCAGCCCTCGAGCATCGAATGTGTGCCTCCAAACAACTAACCCCTAGCCTCAGGAACGGATAAAGGTCACTTCCGCAACAAATCACGGTACCAGAGGCAATGAAGAGGTTGCTAGAACAGAAGGTTAAGTCTGAGGAATTACTGAAAGTCACGGAGAAGATAGGAAATACCATGAAGTAGATGGCTTTTGAGTGCTAAAGAATGATCTGAATTTTTATAGGTAGAAAAAAGGAAGTAGAGGTGGGAGAGAGAATATAAATTAAGCAGCTGAAACAGTACATCAGAGACATAGAAAATTCTCTGTCTGTCCAGCCAAACTATAAGATCAGCATGATAACACTGGGAGATGAGACTAGTGTTGGAGACATGGAAATTTGATTTTTTTTCTCTTATAGGCTCTGGGAATAACAGAAAGTATCTGATATGGACTAACATACTAGACTTTATCTTAGGACAGTAAAATTAATGTGTGTGAGGTCAGAGAATAATGTTGGACCACAGGGTATAAAAAAGGGTGAGCTCTCATGCACCTGGGTTAGGCATGCTGATCCTGCTTCATGACTGCTCTGGTATTAGGTGTGGCAAAATGGTGACCATCTTCCCAATGACAGCAATGAAGAGCTGTGAGAAACTGGGGCACCACCACTCTCTGTACTAACACCCAGGAGGCCCCAGCCCGGGAAATGCAGCATGGCACTGGGAGAAGTCATTCAGTGACAAAAGTGTCCATCAAGGAACAGCACACTGGTGAACGCCACCCGGTAGAAACACATGGCCGTACCCGTTTACTAAAGGATGAGGAGTCAGGGCCCAGGCCTCAGAAGAGAGCTGGCAAAGGTTAGACAGTGGTCGTGACCCTCATGCAACAAGGTGAGGAAAAGGATTGAGTCCTAGTTGGGAGCTGATTACGCATGAGGAACTGAGGCCTCACTACACAGCTAGAAAAGGCCAGGTAGGGAGGGGTGGGGGGGGGCAGGCTAGCTGGTAGGCATGTGGGTACCAGGACTTTTACTGAGCAAAGGCAATGACCAAATGACACATCTGGACTTACCCAACCCCACTACGAATCTACTGATACGCACTAAGATTTCAACAGAGAGGCTGCAAATGGGAATTTGGGCACCAGGGACAAAAGTGCATGGCATAAAAAAACAAACCAGTTAATCTTTTTCATTTCCATAAATGTGTACATGCTCAGCCTATCCCTGCTACTCATCCATCCCAAAACTTCAACCCTCCCCTGTTCTTCACCACAAGCTGTTTAAAGTCCAGTGAGAAAGGGCCTGAGGCTCAGGGATGTTCACTGCAAATACTACTAAAGAGCAGTGATTTTGAACAAAGTGTTTGTACATTTTGCATCAAAATCTACTATAATTGTCCTAAAAATCTAATTTTTAAAAATCTAAATCTACACTCATTCTATTTATTTACTGTTTCAGGTTATTATAGGCCAGATCTAGTACCAAGTGTATTATATGCATTATATCTTTTATGACTCACCACAGTTAGATGAGAAGCATTATTATTATTGTCATTACATAATTGAGGAAATTCTACACAGTTAATTAATTTGTTCATTCACAGAGCTAGTGAGTAGTAGAAACTGGCTTTGAACCTGAGAGTTAGACCTTGACAGACAGATAGGGTCTGGGACCCTGGGAGACATAACAGGAGAGAGCAAATCAATTACAGGGAAGAAATTCAAAACCCTGTGTTGAAAAGACACCAGTTTGCCTATGTGAACACATAAATCCCAAAGAAGCAATCAAGAAATTGCAAGACCACCGCTGCTGTAGCCCTACACCGAAAACATGAGCACATGGCACTAATTTACCCAGCAACAACCATTTTCCAGACCCCTCCTTTGTGGTAGCTGCTCAGTTTCTTTATCTGTCCCTGCATAAATCTCCTCGGGCCTGCTTGCCTTGCTGAGGGCAGGAGCTGGTCTTTTTTTTTTTTTTTTTTTTTTTTAAGATTTATTTATTGATTGATTGATCGATACATACAAGCACTGGGTACAGTTAGAAGCGCAGGAGGGAGAGAGAATTCACCAGAGCCAGAGCGGGGAGCAGAGCAGGCAGAAGGACTGAAGTACACTGCTGAGGGGAGCAGCGGGCGGCAGGAGGTCTGCGCGCCATGCGGGACCCTCCTCCCGAGGCCGGGGAGCAGCCGGGGATTGAACCGGCGTTGCAGAGACTGCCGGCAGCTTCCCAACCCAGCGCTCAACCGCTGCGCCACCGGGGAGGCCCGCTGGTCTCTTTCTTTAAATAAACCCTTCAGTTCGAATGCTGTTGTGTGTCTGTGGTTGTTTCATTCTTTCATTGGGAAAGGCAGGTGTTGACATAATATACCAGAAAGGCAAGAAATTAGAATTCGAGAGGGCAATGGGAAGCCAATTGCAATATTCCAGTTAGGTTTACTGAGGCCAGAATTTGGACCATCATCACAAAGTGAAACACAGCCTGTCGTATGAGATTAGGTGACTGAGAACAGAGAAAATATTCAGAATATTCTGATAGTCACGACTTTGATGAGTTCAATGCTGGATACTGGACAAGGCCTCAATAAATGTTGATTGACTATTATGGAACTTATTCTAATCAAATTCTCTACAGTGATTTGGAAACCGCATGCATTCATTTTAACCTAAAATAACTCTGCACTACAGTTTCATTTATAATTTAGGGGAAAATAACTCTCATTTACAGAGTTTTAAACAATGTCTCAAAGTCCAGCACTTGGTTGCAAACCTAGAAATTGAGTAATGTTTTCTGTGATGCCAAGGCATCCTAATTACCAACACTTGTTGATTGTTTAAAAAGTCCCTTGTAAGACTACAAATGTTTTGGTGGTGGGCATGGTGTGGTGACATACATCTGAGGAAATGTGACCTATTCCCCTAAATCATATACAGTATTATAAACCAATGTTACCTCAATTACATATATATTAATAAATGAAAAATATATATTAAAAATTCCTTTGTAAAAGACAGTATTTGTCATTCAATTTAGCAAAAAGAATTACTTTAATTACTCCCATCAAGACAGTTTGTTTTGAAATGGGTCTTATTCACTGGGGTCTCAAATCATAGAAAATTTCCCTGAAAGAATTTGATGAGATTTCTTAAGTATGTGGCTTCCTGTTGGGGAGCTATATTTCTGTACTTAAAGCCTTAGGGTGGAAGCTCTGTTTTTACTATGAACCAAGATGATTTTAAAGGTGATATTCACATCTCTAAATGTCTTGTGGGATCACTGGCAAAATTAATCACACTGATGGTTAAAGATTTACTTGAATTTCTTCTGCCAAAAAACATTTTCAAGATTTTGGTAACACTTTCCCATGAGGTCTCATCATATAACCATGAAGATAAAACTACAGCATTCTATTTATTTGTGGGAACAGAATGTAAAAGAAACAATCACTGAAGCATTACAGTCAATGCGCAGTAAAGTTACTATTAACAATGAATCTGAAGGGAAATTGGGATCTGGTCCTGGGCTTTTTTACAGTAGTCATTTTACAGGCCAATCTTTTCAGCACTGGGTATCTCAGCCTAAACACTCAGGAAATGAAGTGCTATAATCTAATTTGCTTTCCTAAAAGGGAATTACAAATACCTGGTGTTATTGGGGAGCTTTCAAGATGAAAGTCACTTTCCCATTAGCAAAAAATAATAAAAATCAAATTCTCTAAAATGATAACAAACACCAACACCACCACACTCCAATAAATAAGGCTAATGGAATTTGTTGATTAGATTTCCAGAAGATGCTGTCATCACAGCTTGCTGCTATTATGTAACCTCCTAAAATATGAAGGTCAAGAAGGAATAAAGTTGTCCTAAGATCGTGTGATGTGTGTTTGGGGTGAGGGGTGCAGGGCCTCAACTGAGCCTAGGAAAGAGGGGAGACATCTAAGATATTCGTTGGCTGGGTTCCTGGGAAATTCCTGCCCTTAAAGTTTGATAGAACGGACAGAAAGACAAGCAGTGTTTTGAGACAGGACAGCTACAAGGTGGAAAGTGAAAGAGAATAAGCAGAAGGACAGGAGTTTGGAAATACTGCATCCAGTTATAGCTGGAGAGAAAGTTCTTATGCATGGAGGGCAGAGCGGGTTAGGCAAGTGCCAGGGCAGCTGGAGAGAAGTGGGAGTCCATTCTTTAGCAGGTGACACTTTCTCCCTGCTGGCAGCCAACACCTCAAGCAATGGAGATCCACGAAGACCCGAGGGCTGGAGTGAGATGAGGACTCTGGTTCAGGCTCTGGGAGGAGCTCCTGCTTCTCACAGACGCCCTGCTAGGCGGGGTCACACCAAGGAGCCCACCAGGCCAGGGCCAGGGCAGAGCTCCTTACCTCTTGCATCAGGTTTCAACCACAGCGCGTGTCCTACAAAGGGAAGGGCGCCACGTATTGTCGGGACGGTCCACAGCTGCAGCCATTTCTGCGCGTAGCTCGCCAGCATCTGCAGGAGGTTCAACACCAGGGCGCCTCCGGCCAGGGAGACAGCGCTCAGGACGCCCCAGAGCAGCATCTTCTGCCCCATGGGCACCAGCCACATCTCTGTCACTGCTCCGGCGGCCATTGTGCTCAGGACTTAGCTGTGGGGACCGAAGGAGCAGAGTCCTAATGGAGGCAGCAGCCCTGGGTCCAGCCTCTGAAGTTACACTGCACTGCCCCAGACGTTTCAAGATCCAGCGAAGTGAGTGGCTAAGGAGATGGGAAGAGAAGACCTCAGGCTACTTCCACTTCCTCCCCCAGGAGAGGCACTGTCTGGGTGCACTGGAGTGCGCTGTGCTTAAAATGAAATAAAGAGGCATGTGGCTTGAAATTCAGTGTTTGGAACTTCCTGTTCCGGTGTGGGGACCTAACCACAATCTTCTTTGAGCAACTTCAGTGTTTTTGTCCTCAGCTGGGACTGGCTGCTTGCCTGGGTGGGAGGTGCATCCTGGCTTCTGGATTAGAGTCAATCAGAGCAGCTGCCTGTTGGATCTAAAGAAGACTTTGGGCACAAACTTAGGGGCACCCTTTATCAGTTTGACTCAGGTAACTGAGATTCTGAGGACTGACTTAGATGGTCGTGCTCCAAATATTTTCCAAAATATTCTCTGGCCCAAGAAGAGCCAATACCTAAGAGAACAAGATTGTTGACAGGTTGATGAGGATGAAGGTTAAGGTCTGTAAATGCAGTAGAGGAAAGAGATGCTGGAAAGAGGGTTTGAGGAGACAGTCCTTCTGGAGGATTCTAGAAGGAACAAAGACAAACCCCTGGGCCTGCCGAAGGAGAAGGGGAGGACAGGAGAAAGATGCCCCAATTCTGCTCAAGGCTTTGTTCACGGTCTCCCAGCTTCTCTCTTTTCTCCAGGCAGATGTACCCCAATCCTGACCCTGGGTCCCTTGTCTACATTGGATCCTTCTTACAAAAGGGCAAGGCTAGGAGTGTCCCTCTGATAGCAGGTGCTCCCTAAGCTATAGGGACAGTGTCAGGAAGATGAGAGATGTCCTGCATCCCTACTTTGCTTAATTAGTTTCCTTTTATTTGCAGCTAACCATGTGGGGCTCTCCACAGGCACCTGCAGGGCCTCTTTGATGTGGAGAAAAACATGCCTAAGGCTCTCCTCCAACTGAGTTGTTTTTTTTTTTTAATATCTCTATATGCAAGGACCTGGAAAGAGATTCATGAAATATTAAATGAAAAAATAAAACAAAATGTAATTGCCATTTAGGGAGAAAATCCTCCCTTCACTGCAGCAGGACTAATATCTAGAAAGAAAATGCTGATCAGCTCGATGGAGTGGGATGGAGAAGTTACACTTTATATTGTCTTCATCTCTATATTGCTTAATCTCTTTGGGACTTGAGAACTAAATGTGTTCACTTCATATGCTAAAGCATATCCCACAGGCTTTAGTTTTCACCTCTCCAAAGGATTGAGGTTGAACAATTTCAGTTATAAAATAGGATTATGTGTATTGCACTTTCTACTAATCTCTGCAGACAAAACAATAAGAGTCCTCCAATAACACCACTTCATTCAGTGTCATTTTGCTATTTTATTGATGAAGGGGAGAAAAAAGATTCCCAACTCGGGCCACTCTCTGCAGGGAGTTTACGTGTTCTTCCCGGTCTGTGTGGGTTTAAGCTCAGTGTTCTGGATTCTTCCCACATCACCAGAATACACACAGGAGATTCATTACTGTGGCTCAGTTATCCCAGTGGAATGAGGGTGTTTGTCTGCATGTGGATGAAAGAGAGAGACAGACAGACAGACAGGAACTTGTGAAGAAAGGGCATTCTGTCCAGCATTGGGTCCTCTCTTGGGCCTTGAATTGCTAGGATAAGCTCTGTTCACCTGGGACCCTACACTGGAATGAGTAAATAGAAAAATGAGCAAGTGATTAAAATTATTTTAAAATAAAAATTAAAGTGCACAATAGTCCGATAGTCGTACAAATGCACTGCAATAAACAATGATATAAAAACACTCAGCAACTCTGTCCTACTTGTGAGTGCTTGTTTTTCACCTCTAAGGGGGGAAAGACATTCCTTACAATTTTGGTTTTGAAACATTTGTTTCCTAACTTAATCCTGTTGCAGTGAGTATGACAGGATCACAGTGCCCCAGGATATCTGTGACCACAAACAGAAAAGTGTGACATTGGAGAGAAAACTCAAAGTTTTGAAGAGGTTTGGTTATGAACAGCAAGGTATAGCTATTGGAAAAGTTCTCAATCTACCAACAACTTTAAGAACACTTCACAGTAATGCTGAAAAGATTAAAGCTTGTGCTTATGCTTGAAGGGTAATACCTTTAGCTGCCACAAAACTAACTTGGAATAGAAGTAGGACAATGGGAAATACAGACAGACATGTGTCTGGAAGCAGCACACACATCAGGGAGCCCTCCATGCTTGATAATGGCCCATATAAATGAAAGCTCTCAGTTGACTAAAGACCTAAAGGAAAGACAGGATTCTAGTGCTGAAAATGAGCACTTCGTGGCAAGGTATGGTTGCCTTAAGCATTTGTGGAAATGGTCAGAACTGCAGATGATGTGCAAGTAACAGGTATGTCTGCCAAGTGCTGACAAAGGAAGCCATAGCTGACAAGGAAGCCAGCTTTACTAAAAAAATGTTATTCTAGGGCCTCCCCTGGTGGCACAGCAGTTGAGCGCTGTGTTGCGAGGCTGCCCGCAGCCTCTGCAGCGCCAGTTCAATCCCCCGCCACTGGCGAGGGTCCCACAAAAAAAAAAAATAAAAAAATGTTATTCTAGAAGGGAGATACACTGTGCAGGAAATGTTCAGTGTATACGAGACAGGTCTTTTTGGGGAATGAATGTCTGAATGAACTTATATTTCTAAAGAAGAAAAACCAGCACCACAATTCAAGATCACCTGACTTTCCTTCTTGGTGGTAATGCTTCAGGAGATTTTAAGTCCACACCACTGGATGGTTATCATGAGAAACCAAGAGTTATGAAGGGTTACTCTGTCTCACCTTTCTGTTGGTTGAAAATCAAATAAAAGCTGAGGAAGGAAAACTTTATTTGAAGATGATATAATTGTCCGTGTCAAAAATCCAATGTGATCACCAAAAATCATCCACAAAACTACTAAAACTAGAAAGTCCAGCTAGTGAATTATTCCAGATATCAAGATACAATGTTAATATGCACAAGGCAATTGTATATACCAACAGTAGATAGCATAAGCAATAGGACACAGACATTTTTAAACTCTAGTTACATAACATTTAAAAATATTAAATGGGGGTCTCCCTGGTGACCCAAGGAGTTAAGCACCTCACTATGAAACAATCTGTAGCCTCTGCAGCACAAGTTCGATCCCCGTCCAGCCAGGGAGCAACCCACATGGCGCAGCAGACCTCTCCGGACTCTCCCGCTGTTCCCCTCAGCAGTGTATTTCAGTCAGTCTGCCTGTTCTGTTCCCGCTCTGTCTCTGGTGAATCCTCTCACCCCCCCACCATATCTGGCCTGTACCCCAGCTCTTGTATGAATTAATAAATAAATCTTTAAAAAATATGTATTAAATGGGAGTAAACCGGACAATGCACTAGGATATCTGTATATATGTATTGCTGAGAGAAAGAACAAAATTGACAAAAATATATACCTGGAAAAAAACAAACAAACAAAAAACAACAGAGCAGGGACTTGGGGCAGATCAAGAGAACAGGGTTTTATTATAATTCACTTCCTATTTCTGCCCAGACACCAAAGAATATTATGGGACCAAGAACCTCAAAATAAAAGTTTGCTCCTTCTGGACGATGCTCCCGGTCACACAGCTAACCTGGATGACATCACAGGTGTTGTTCAAGTCAACTTTGTGCCTCAGACATAACCAGTGTGATTCAACCAGGGGATAGGGGTGTCAGAGCAACACTAAAAGCCTGCTACTTAGGGCAGAAGCAAATGATTAAGTTCTTAAGTGGTGAAGATAAACCCACTGTAAGGCAAATTTGGTGTGGCCAGCATACTGAACGCTCCTGAAAACCTGAGGCAAGGCCCGACAAGAAAGCGCCACACTTGTTGCCAATGGAAATTTACCCAGAATGCATCGCGCACTTCCGGGGTGGCAGCGGCCGCCATCAAGCGCTCTCAGGGGTTTGCTGGGCGCCCTCCCCAGGTCGAATTCAGTGAAAGAGATGGAGAAGAGGCCGTTCAGTGCCTGGAATCCCGTGGAGGCCGATGAGCTAGTGGGGATCTCATGGAGGTGGAACAGGAACGTGCTTGAAGAGGAGGGAGCTGTTGAAAGTGAGGGTGCAGCGCCTCCAGGAATCCATGTGTCTGAGGCTTTCCAGAAGGTAGAGCTGCGGCCATTTCCACCAAAACAGATGGACAGAGAACGAAGCTCAGCAGCAAGCAGGATAATGAGGGATGCAACTGCTGCAGAGAACTATACGGCCAGAATTAAGAACAAGCCGTGGACATCGGTTGTTTTTTTGGGTATTTTTTTTTTTTTTGGTTGCTGTTGTTATTGTTTTTTTAATTATTATTTTATATATTTTTACATCATTTTTCATTTTTGCACAATGTATGCATTTTCATCTTGGTTATAGTCCCCATACTATATTCCCACCCCCCTTATTTTGACCCTAATCCCTCCTCCCCACGCCACCCCAGCCCCATAGTGTGTCTCTGGTTTATAGTTGTTTGTTGATTTTGATTTTTACTTTATTATAATTAGTCTTTTTCCTGGTCCCTTATTTAGTTTTTCTAAATTCCTGTTATGAGTGAGACCATCTGGTATTTTTCTTTTTCTTTCTGGCTTATTTTGCTGAGCATGATCCCTTCCAGCGCCATCCATGTTGCTGCAAATTGCATGAGTTTATCTTTTTTGATTGCTGAGTAATATTCCATTGTGTATATGTACTACATCTTCTGTGGACATGGTTTTTAAAACTCCAGTTAATCAAGAAGTTGGAGCAGCTGCAGCACCAGCAACACCAGGGGTCATTTGGCTAAACCTGAGGTGACGCCAGGCCCTGGGGACACCCTACCCTCGCCTTCTGAGGTGGCTGTGACCCAGATGTCCTTCTGGCTTCCATGGTCAGGACCAGGGCCCAGCCTCATGGGACTGTCACCAGGGATGGGGACATGCTGCCCACCACCACCAAGACAACCGTCACTCACTGATTCAACCAAAATTGGTAAATGATTTTTTAAATTAATCTTTCTTAACTGTGTGTGTATGTGTATCATATGCATTTTAGTGTTTAATATTAGAAGAGTTTGGGTCTCTTTAGAAGTAGGAGTACAAGTTTTTGTCAAGTGTGCAAATATCAATATGAAATATTAGATGTTAGAGTTTTATTAGATATTAGAGTTTATATTATCCTCTTTATATTATCCTCTTTCATCCATCTTTGGATAAAGGAATTTGTTTACATTTTAATGAAAAAATTATTAATAACTTCTGTTTCATATTTAGTACCATAAGGTGAAAGTAATCTTTCATGTTATTTTCTAGGAACGTTCAATCTAAAAACCATCCATAAGATTTGTGTGTCTGTGTAGTAGTTGTGAGGTTGGGTTAAACATAGGTTTTTTAAATATGAATACCCAATTAACACACTTTAAAAGAGGTGATCTTTCTCTCTGTGTGTTGCAACAGCACATTATCAGAAACCAGGTGGCTGCCTGCATACATAGGTCTATTTGTTCTTCTGCTTTGACAATCATTGTGCCAATAAGTGTATTGTAATTACTATAATTTGGTCTGTCTTGGTATTTTTGTGTAATATGTCCAACTTGTTTTTCTAATTTTTAAAGACTATCTTGCTGTTTTTTTTCTCATTGTCTGTATGTGCACATTTTAGAATAACACACACACACATTATACACACACACTTCCCTGATTGAAATTTGATTATGATTGAGGTCTAAGGAAGTTTTATGAATTCATGAAGTTTTGGAAACTCAACACTTTTATTAGAAATTAAAATTATAAACAAGGATATGTATCATAAGAAAACAATGACAATAAAAATATAAAACCCACATCATTATAAAAATGTACCTCTTAATTAGTATAGAAATTGAATTCTAATTCATAATAAAATCAATAGCAAGATTTCTTTTCATATTAAGTTTATAAAACCTAGCCCTTCACTTGTTATCTTATGTTTTTATATTATTTTTAAATTACTTCTCGGTTTTTGATAAACTGAGAGACATTTATATTAATGTAGCTCTAGACTTAGTTGAAAATTGATTTAAGAGAACTTCAATTTTCCTTTTCCAATAGAGAACTCTAAAATAAGACTCATTTATCAAAGTAGGTTATTATTATGAAACCATTGTCCTGATTTTTATCTACTCCATTTAAAAAGCACCATCCTTAGTGTAAGATTATTTACTAACCTTTAAATATCATTTACATTAAAATGAAATATTGTCTTTATTAAAGGCTTAAAAATATATACCCTGACAACTTTTTAAAGTCAGTAAAAAAGCCTGATCTATATGTTATCTCAGAAATATATGAAATCGAGGTCAAAAGTGTTCAAAAGATCAGTGAAACCGAAAATTAGAAGTCTTAACTGTGGTGTTGGAATAAAAGACACACAGATTGATGGAATCGAATTGAGATCCAAGAAGTAAACCCACATTTATATGGATAGTTTATGTACGACAGAGGTGCCAAGAACATACAATAGAGAAAGGAAAGTCTATTTAAATAGAGTTGGGAGAACTGGTCAGCCACATTCAGAAAAATAAAATGAGACCCTCAAAACGTACACAAAAATTAACTCAAAATGGACTAAAGACTTGGATGTTAAACCAGAAAATAAAATACATAGAAGAAAACATAGGCAGAACAGTTAGACATTAGCTTCAGTGGTGTCTTTGGGGACTTGACGCTAAAAGAAACAAAAAATGAAAGCAAAAATAAACAAATGAGATTATAGTAAACTAAAAAGCTTCTGCACCATGAAAGAAACTACCATAAAAATGAAAAGATACCCTCATCAATGAAAGAAAATTTGCACATCATACATTTGACAAGGGGTATGCACATAATCTACAAAGAACTGATACAACTTAATAAAAAAAAAAAATCCCAATTAAATATGGGCACTCCTCCAAAGGAGACATAAATGACCAACAGGCATATGAAAAAATGTTCCAAATCATTTATCATCAAGGAAATGCAAATCAAACCACAATGAGACACCACCTCACCCCAGTGAGAATGGCCCATATCAAAAAGACAAAGACCAGAAACAAATGTTGGCAAGGGTGTAGAGGAAAAGGACGTCTCATACACTGTTAATGGGAATGTAGAGTGACCCTGCCCCTATGAAAACAATATTCAAGTTTCTAAAAATACTAAAAATCGAACTAGCGTATGATCCAGCAATTCTACCCTTGATAAGTACCCAAAGAATGCAGAATTACTAATTAGAAGGGATATATGCACTCCCGTGTTCATTGTAGCATTCTTCACAATAGCCAAGCCATGGAAACAATCAAAGATTAGTAAAGGACATGTGATAGACACACAGGATGGAATACTATCAGCTATAAAAAAAAGGATGCACACTTGCTCTTTGGGATAACAGATGGAACTAGAGGGGCATATGCTAAATGAAATAAGCAGGAGGGAGTAAGACAGACACCAGATGATGTCACTCATTTGTGGAATACAGAGAAACAAAATAAAGGAACTGGCAAAACTACACCAAAAAAAAAAAAAAAAAAACTAGAAATATTTGGAACAAAGAGAGGAGTGGGCTCAATGATACAGGATAAAGGAATAGAGGTGCCCTGGTGGTGGGTGTGGTGTGGTGGTGGAACACATCTGAGGCGGTGTTAACCTATTCCCCTGAATCACTTACAGTGCTGTAAGCCAATGTTACTTCAATAATAAAATAAAATGATAATTTATCTTCAATCAAAAATGTTTAGAAAATGTTGATAATTGTTTATATTTTTTAAAGCATTCTTATCAACACACATAAATAACATTCTTATTTGCAAAAACTGGAAGCCAAATAAAGTGAAGCTGACAGTGTTCAATTATTCTCTATAAACAATAATTTATCTTGGATATTCTACCTTGATGTTAGTTTAGGATGCTGTTGGTCATTTTCCTTCCTAAGAAGTCAGGACTGATTAGGGAAGGAGTGGGTGGTTTCTGGACAGTGATATAAAGCAGCCTGAATGGGGCCGAAGGAGCAGAGAGGTGGAAAATTGCACATTAGCTGTAATTATGGACCAGAATGCACCCAAATAGACTCCTTAGGAACAGGGATCCAAAATGCTCACATCTAGAAATTCTTCCTATTTCAATATGGGATCACTGATATTTTCTGTTGAAAATTTCTGTAAAGTATAGGGATCATTTAGAAAATTCTCAACATGCTTGGTTTACTTTGGGTGGGTGACTAAGCATTAGGAATGTTACCTAGAGTCGTGGAGCTGGGCCTTCCAAATGAAATGAGCTTACAATGATCATTCCCACTTCTACACCCCCGCCCAGGTCACAATCTATAGAAAATGTAGTAGAGAAGGTGACTGAGAAATGCTCAGTGGGAGGCCAGGCTCTATGCTTGTTTTTGTTTTGCTGCTGTGTGACAGAAGACCACACTAATTCAGGCCCAAACATACCTTGTAATTTCTAGACATTTATAAATAGGTAAAAGAACAAAATCAAAACTCTTACAGCTGGAAATGTCTAAAAAAATATACTTATAAATAGGTAAAAGAACAAAATCAAAACTCTTACAGCTGGAAATGTCTAAAAAAATATACTTATATGATAAAAATTCAATTGATAAAATGTAATTATCTGACAGAAAAGAAGAAATTATGGTGATTTGGGATGTGAGAATGTAGATGAGTCTAAGGACTTGAATCATTAGGGGCTGGGTACAAATGAAAAATGAACCTAGAGCCTGCCCTCAGTTGCTAATGGCTCCCTTGTACTGTCTGCTCCCTTGCACGGTCTGCACCATTTGCTCCATACATGCCCAGTAGGGATATATGTGCTCAAGAAAAGTGAAGCAGAGTCAGAGGACACAGGAGGGAGCTGCTGCTTTAGACACAGGGATAAGGGAAGGCTTTATGCTGAGGTGGTATTCCAGCAGATTGTGATGAATCAGGAAGATGCTACTGGAAGCCGTCCCCAGTGAATGGGCACTTCCATTGCAAACAGAAAGAAACCACATGCCATATGTTTTATCTCATTTTATATTGAGTTCTAAAAATCAGTGTGGAATACTTTTAAATAATTGCCTGGATTTGAACATGAAAACGAGTAAAACAAAATTGCATCGGTAGACTTAGCCACTGACATTCCTCAAAGACGTTCATAGCTAAAGCACTTTTTAAAATATGTATAGGAAACTCTGCAGTGACTAGAGTGACCTGAATCTTAATGAAACTGACATACTGTAGTGAAGATGACTAGTTTCTAGTCTACTAATAGATTATCATCTATTAGTAGAGGAATTTATGCAATTAATAATGAAATTAATATGAAATTAATAATAGAGACACAAAAAAATTGTTTAAGATGCAAAATTACAAAATGGCATATTCCTAGATAATGTACTCTGACACATTAAGTAGGATGAATACATTCACTAGTTGTGTATGTGTGTGTGTGCGTGTGCGCGTGTGTGTGTAATTGCTGAAATGATGAAATATCAACACATGTTAGGGTCTCCTGAGCCAAGCCTAAAGAATGTGGGGGAATCTTCCAAAAAAGGGTTGGTGAGGTCCACTTGTAGTCTCTTCAGCATGCAAAGTATTCAAAATTAAGTTGTTTATTTGTTTGTTTCTCTCAGATAGTCTAACATCTCAGACTGTCAGACAAACCCATACAGAGTATAATACTTGTGATTTTAAAGTGACAGTGTGTCATGTCGAGGCTTTGAAGATCGCAGCAGGTGCTGTCTTTCTGGCAAGACTGTCAGGATGCCACTTGGAATCTCTTTCTGGAAGTCACAGTTGTCCTCTGAAAAGATTTGAGCTGATACTGTGAACCTGAAACACCAACCAAAAAAGTCACGCTCATCAAAATGTTAAAAATTCCAACTCTCAAGGGAAGGTTTTGTACATTAGTGCGGATGACACTTTTGAACAAAAGTTATTTTAATAAATATCACTTTTATCTAAAGCAGGAGACAGTCATATGCAAAACTGTCATTTGAACCTGGGAAGAAGGAAGGGTGTCCCTTCCCCCCAACAATTTCCCCCACTCTGTTATCCACCAGCAAGCCCATTTGTCTGCCAGGGAACCTTTTACTAGAGGTGGATCCCTAACACCCACGGGTTGAGTGGGGAGCTCTGTAGCCCTGTAACTTCTCAGGGACAGAAACAAAGCCACTTGCCTAAAAGATCCTTCCCCTGTGGGTGATAAGCCTCCCCTTTCTTTTCCTTCCTGCCACAGAATAAAGAGTGATGAGTTCATACTTCCTGGCGCCATCTTACTGGAAAGCCAAGAGTTTTTGTGATTTGCAACAAATTGCATTGATTTTGCTAAGTGAGTAAGTTAGAAGGAGAAAGACAAATACTGATGGTGTCTCTTATATGTGGACGGTAGAGAAACAAAACATCAGATAAAATCAAACCAAAAACAAACCCAAGAAATTTGACTGTAGAATTGAGGCTACCAAAGGGAAAATGGGTGGGGCACAAAGGACTATGGTGGAGGATGGTGGGTGCCTTGGTGGTAGGTGTGGTATGGTACCATACATCTGAAGGGGATGATCCTGTACCTCTCAATCATATACAATGTTGTAACTCAATGTTACCTCAATTTAAAAAAAGTGAGGAAATGTTGGAACATATCCGGCACCCTGGGTCACATCTATAGACCCATCAGTAATAATAACAGTCCATTTATACACTGGCCTAATATTTAAGGAAAATTAAGAGTATAGTTTTAAAACAAAGTCAGAGCCTAGTTCTTGGTCCTGACCTTTCCTCCAGTTGCTGAACAACCTATCAGAACTTTGCACTTAGCATGCTGCTGTAACATCTCTAAAACTAAGTGTGTTAAAATCCCTTCTTTCAGGGGAAGCAAGGTTCTCTGAGAATCACTGGGGTTGCTGTGCCAGTGCTGCCTGGTCTGTTTCTGGCACTGCTTCTTGGGCACAGCCTGGGAGAGTGGGAGGCTGTGTGAATGGCAGCTGCAATAGTAGCTGAGGTAGTGGCAGGAAGGGTTGTCTGTCTACACAGGACTCATTCCATTGGGCTTTTTCAGTAGAGGATTCTAACATAAGACTCATTTATCAAAGTAGGTTATTATGGAAACACTGCCCTAATTTTTACCTAATGCATTTAAAAAGTACTATTCTTAACATAAGCATTATTTACTAAAATCTAAATCTCATTTAGGCCAAAATATCTTCTTTAATACAGGCAGACAGACAGACAGACAGACACACACACACACACACACACACACACACACACACACTTTGGCAGCTTTTTAAAGTCAGTAGAATAGCAAATCTTTTCTATCTCAGAAATAAATGAAATGGAAGTTCAAAAAACTGTTCAAAAGAATCAATGAAACCAAAAGCTGTTTTTTTTTTTGTTTTTGTTTTTTTTTTTTTAAATAACAAAAAGACAAATCTTTAGCTAGGTGCACAAAGAAAACAGGGAGAAAACTGTAATAAATAGAATGGGAAATGAAATGGAGAATTTACAACAGATACCTCAGAAATACAGGGGATCATAAGAGACATTTATGAACATCTTGACGTCAACAAACTCTAAAGTCTGGAAGAAATGTCCAAATTCTTAGAAGGATACAACTTTCTAAGATTGAATCAGGAAGAAATAGTAAACTGATGATGACTCATTAAAATTTTTTTTAATGTACTGATCTGCAGACTTTTTCATTATAAAATTATTAGGGTATCTATTAACTTTATGCAGCATCATTATAATTAAATCTTCAAAGTGACTCTAAGATTAGAGTTCATTTAGAAGGAAAGCATGAATAGCCTATAGCAGAGAGACAGACAGTGATTTCTCATGAGATTCATAGGAAATCATTTCCCTATTTTCATGAGTGAGACCCTACGTTGAATAGGAGCTTTGGGTATTTTCCTCTTTAACAACAACAACAGGTAATAGCCAGTTTTTGCAGTTTTGCTGTGAGCCATAAATAGTTGGTATTTCCTCTTACATGGTAAAACAGTTCTATCAAGGTAACAATCTTGAACAATCTTCAATCTCTCTTTCCAAAACTTAAAATGTCACAAATCACTATATTTTAATTTTTTATGAGAGCACTGACCTGTTACAAAACTTTGCCCTGTCCATGTGTGACCAGCAAACTCCATCTGGGTCAGTGAGCCTTTTCGAGGGGTATCTGACTATTAGGGGAAAAAAATGAGGGATGAGTTTGATTGTTTCAAAGAATTATAAAAATCAAAATTGTAGCGAACAAAGAACTTACCCGAAATGTATGGGTTGTGTTAGGCCTTGAAAACTGTTCCATGGGAAGAGTTCTTTCTCGAAGAGGTGACCGTTCTATACTATCAGGTATGGCACTTAACACACGGTTTTGTGGGTGCCTTCCTCTGTACTAAATGAAGGATAAGATGTTCTCTTTAAAATGCATATAATCAAGCCTCCCTGGTGGCACAAGGGGTTAAGACACAACCTATGAAACTATCTGCAGCCACTGTGGCAAGAGTTAAATTCCTGGCCAGGGAGCTACCCACATGGTGCAGCAGACCTCTCCTGACTCACCCGCTGCTCCCCTCAGCAGTGTATTTCAGTAGATCTGCCTGTTCTGCTCCCCACTCTGTCTCTGGTAAATCCTCTCACCCCCACCTCTGACCTGTACTCCAGTTTTTGTATGCATAAATAAATAAATCTTTTAAAAAATACATATAATCTTTAAAAACAGCAAAATCTAGATATGCTTCTGTCATGCACTTACTAATCACTTGCTTATTTGAAAATTTTATTTAAATATTGCTAAGTAGAAAGTTTACTAAGTATAATTTGAATATTTAAATGAGATAATTGTATTTTTAACCTGAAATAATGATAGTGTTATAAAAGGACATGGATAACAACTTTAACCACATAAACTTCATAATAATATTAAATTGTCATAGAAATAACTTTGCATTTGTGATGTATCAGACTTCTTTGTGAGATTTTTGTCTTCTTTAATCATTAGATTAATCACTGGGGGTAAGACAAGCTATCACACACATAAACATTGAAAGCCTTGCAACTCTTGCTGTTGGGAATGGGTGCTTTGCTGTGGTCAAGGAGGCAGAGAAACTCAAGAGAAAACATTGCCACAGTCACTTCCTCTCTCTAAGTCCCCACACTCCGGGTCCTTGTGTTTTGTAAAACAGACACAGGTCACTTGCAGCAGAGTAAAAAAAGAAATCATTGTAAACCCAGAGAGAATCTGGCTATACTTAGTACCAGTGGAGAACCTTCCCTAGACCTCTAGCCACTGCATGGCTGAATGAGCTTGGCTCAAATAGATTCTGGGTCCACAATGCAAGGAATATGGATCAAGTCAGGTGGAAAAATGAGAGCTGATAAACATGATGGGCATTTTACTGAGCTCTTAATGTTGCTAGGCATTATTAAATATCCATAAATTCATGTAATTCTTTATAACAATTCTTTAAAGTAGGAATCATTATTGCCCTTGAATACTAGAAAATTAAGGGAGATTAATTTGTACCAAATCATAGAGTGAGTTTGGGTAGCAGGGTTCAGACATGGAGCTGCCTGTCTCCTGACATAACCTCTGTTATTTTTTCATTCCCCCAGGCTGGCTAACAGATGTTGCCTTGATGCCTGGATTGTCTCAGTTAGTTCAAGTCTTTTTTTATTCCCCCCTACTATATAGTGAATTAACTCTTCCACTCCCTTAAATTCTTACAAGCCATTTACTTTCGGAAAGCAAATTATGGAGATATATTATATGGCTAGTTTTCACCTAAAATATCAATTACATTATCTTCGTATGTTCTCCACCTGACTATATGGTACATTTAAGTATCATGAAATCTGTCTTACAGAAACAGGGCGAGATCCAGAAACTGCCACATTCTGTTCCCCAGTGTCTGCGCCTATTGGGGGTAACCTGTTCCGTGAGCTCTGAACTGGCGTGGAGGACAGGAGGTCTGTGCCAGTTTGCCTGTGAAAACAACAACATGTGGCTGAGTACCCTGTTGCAGACAGAGGAGAGACCTAACCACGAACTTCCCAGATGAGCCATAGATCACAAGTTGCCTCCCAAAAAAACTCGTTCAAATATAATGAGCTGAGCTTCAGAAAGACAAACATGGGGAAACCAACACCAGTCATGCTTTCCTTGTTCAGCAGTGACTGTCCACCTGTACTTACCAATGCTGAGCTGTGCCAGCAACTGGGGAACACGCAGTTGATCCAGTACCTACTCCCCACCCTTAACGCGCTTACAAGTTATTGAAAACTGGATGAGAACATACGAATTATTTAGGCAACAGTGCAAAGCAGCATATAATGAAGTGCCAGGGATAAGGTTCAGAACACCTTGCTGTAGAGTATTTCAGGAATGGAATGATGATTTGAAAAATCAATCATAAATGGGTCGGACCTAGATGAGGAAACTACAAAGCTTCATGTAAAATTACAAAAAGGAGATACATCACTAGAGAAGAGGCAAAATGTGTTCTTTGATGGGAGACCTGCTACTATTAGGAAAATACCACTTTTTTTAAATATTTTTAATGGATTTAATGCTATGAGGGCCAATATAGATTAGATTTCTATCTATAGTTTTAGTATTGTCCTGATGTTCCACAGTGAACTTGTAGTGCATTGAGAAATAGAAAAACTGCCATTTCATTAAAAAGGAAAGCATGAACAAACTCGCAGAAGCAAGCACAGGAACAGCTGCTTTGTTTGTGGTGAGAGAAGATAAGGCCGACAGCCTCGGGTAGGTGATGAGAAGGAACAGAGACAGACACACATCAGAAGAGGGGGTGCTGCCAAAAGGGGGCATATGCAGGTTCTCAGCGGGTCAAGAAACCTTCCTCTTGTTATGTATAAAGCACAATAGAAAAACTGCATAGCCAGTACAGTATATTTATATTAAAATTCAAGGGGTGGGGAAAATTAGGAAAGATACTTCCAAGGAAACCCTGAGCATCGCAATAATGAAAAAAAAGGTTGAAGACACAGGCCCAGGACAGGGAGGGGCCAGAACAGAACAGAAGGGACAGGGAGGCATCTGGATCATTGGTCAATTACTGGCCTTGCAGCTGAAACCACTGACCCCAGCTGAGCCCCATCCATGGTCCCTTCACCATGAGTTTCATTTCCTCTCCTGCCTATGCTATGGGGTCACGGCCCACATTATTTTCTAGGGCACTGCTCAGTATATGACTAGAACAAAGTCCTTACTATTCAGAGACCCTCAGAACAGAGCCCATGTGGATCTGATGGAGGCTGCTCCGTCTGGGGTAACCCACAAGCCCCGCTGCAAGCGTTTCCGGGTACTGCAAGCTGTGGTTTACCGCGCGAGATACAGACTTACAGTTTTGTCCCCCTAAGGACTTCATCACTGTACACGTTGGGGGTTCTCATCCTCTGTGAGTCTGAAGTAAGAGAAGGCAGCCTCCTGTGTGTGGGTGTTTTCTTTGCAGATGTCTGTGGACCGCGAGGATCTGAGAGGCGTCCCAGGCGGTGCCTGGGCAGGGAAAGAGCACTGGCCCCTGCGCTCAGGGATCGGTCCTCCAGCTCATTCCTGAGTGAGGGAAGTGAGGAGAGAGACTCAGAAGCAAGCACTCTGAGAACAGGGCATGGGGATAATTGCCCGTTTCGATGCCCTGTCTAGAGGACTGTTGGGAGCACTGGAGGTGATTATTTGTTAACTGAGTGGACAGACTATCCAATTCCCAATTTATTTTCATTTGACCATTCAATGTCAAGGAACAATCGGCCACAGGACAAAAAAAATTCCAAGGATATTATTGTCTGAAATCTAACAGTCAACGGCACAAGATTAAGACTTCCTAGTGATTTTTACCTTTTCTCGTTTGCTCCAACCTAACAGTAATTGCTCACATTAGAACAGTGGTTTTATTCTTACATTGACTGTATCTCCTCCTCCCTGCAATGTGCTCAGACACCAGGAGCCTGAGGTTAATGTGATTCTGGCTCTCTCATGCCCTCTGCTGACTTCAGTGATCCACTGTGCCCACAGACGAAAGAGGTAGGGAGTTTTATACATACTGGGTCCTGTCTGTGCAATACGTAGGTCTCTGCTGAAGTGGTTTTGCTTGAATCGTCATCACACCTTTCAGATCATTACAAAAATTATTTGAGAAGCGGTGAATCTGAGAAAAGTAAAGAGAATAAATATTAAACGCCTGTAGTGTCATTCCAGTTACTGATGCCCATCAGGAACTAGCAGGAAAGAAATGTCACACTTAAGCTGGCCAAGACTAAAGATGTGGGAAGAAAAGCAAATAAATACTTCATATTTTCCTGGACTTGTATCCGTGGGACATATTACCCACTGAAATGAGGGAGCAGTTTCTGGTTTCTGGAAAGCACAGCTGCATGAAGAAGGGCCACCATCCCACTGTCCCCTGGCAGAGGGATCAACAAACAAACAAAACAAATACCCCAAGCCTCCCTGACCTCCCAGGTAGCAGGGTAAGAGGGGGCAGAGCACTAGGTGGTAGAGACAGCCAATGAGCATCAGCCTCCAGGGCACACCAGGGTTAGCAGGGTAGAGAAGGATCTGGAGAAGCAAAAGAAAAAGGATCACAGCTCCTAACAGATGTTTTTCTGGACTCTTCTCCCATCCCCAGCCTTCCCAGCTGGCCTGCTGAGCTTCCCAGGAACAGCAGAATAGTTTGGGAAAGTCACCAGATCTCAAAGGCTTAAACTGGATTCCTGGTTCTAACTGCTTCCTGATTGGTGATCATGGAAAGATTTCTTTGTTCTTGGAATTTTAATTCCCTAATGTTTAAGTAGGTAATGATACCTACTACATAGTGTTATTTTGAGAAATTAGATAACATTGGTGAAAGTATGAAGTGAGGGCTAAAAATTATTAACTTCCACTTTAATCTCACAGTATCACCAGCTATGATGTAAAATGGTATTTTAGATTTGGGTAAATAGGATTTCTGAATCTAGAATTCTACTCTAGTTCGAGATAGAAGTAGGAATCACAGTCACATTTTTCTCAAGCTGAATATGCCTAAAGAGAAATGTTATGAGAGTAAAGTCAGACCTGTGGATATTACCACTAGAATGTTTTGACCATTTCAAAATGGATTCTTATTAGAATTTTATTTTTGATTTAACTTTGTTCTCCATATATTTTCTTTTTTTTTTAAAGATTTATTTATTTACGCATACAAGAGCTGGGGTACAGGCCAGAGATGCGGGGGGTGAGAGGATCCACCAGAGACAGAGTGGGGAATAGAACAGGCAGAAGGACCAAAGTACACTGCTGAGGGGAGTACCAGGCAAGTCAGGAGAGGTCTGCCTTGCCATGTGGGTTGCTCCCTGCCAGCCGGGGGATCAAACTCATGCTGCAGAGGCTGCGGATTGCTTCATAGTGCGGTGCTTAACCCCTTGTGCCACCAGGAAGGCCCTGTTCTCCATATATTTTCTCTTAATATTTTTCAAATGAAATAATGGCAAAAGCCACAAAGCAATGCTATAAACAACTCCTTAGCTTTTAAGATTTCCCTATATTTCAGGTTTATTTTTCTTGATATTTAAACATCTTTTCTATGTTATCTTTTCTATGTTATCATGATGTTCTTTATGATTCATACTGCACATGTCAATGTGCAAATTGCAAAACTGTGGGACCTATTAGTGCAGTTTGAAGAGACCAAAGCAACAACAACAACAAAACAATAAGCCAGTAGCAAATTCAGAAGTCGCTTTTGAACAGCAGAAGCAAAGGTGTATTAAAAAGCCTTTTTTTTCTTTTCTTTTTTTTATAATAAATTTTATTTTTATATTCCCCATACAATTGCAACCCCCCCATTCTGACCCCAATCCCTCTCCTCCCGCCCCCCACCCCCCAAAAAGTGTCTCTGGTTCATAGTTTTTGTTGATTTTGATTTTCACTTTCTTATAGTTATTCATTTTCCTGGTCCCTTATTTAAGTTTTCTAGATTCCTGCTATGAGTGAGACCATCCGGTATTTTTCTTTTTCTTTTTGGCTTATTTCACTGAGCATGATCCCTTCCAGTGCCATCCATGTTGCTGCAAATTGCATGTGTTTATCTTTTTTGAATGCTGAGTAATATTCCATGGTATATATGTACCACATCTTCTTGATCCAGTCATCTATTTTTGGGCCTTTGGGCTGTTTCCAAAGCTTAGCTATTGTAAACAGTGCTGCTATAAACATAGGGGTACAGGTGCTCTTTGGAATTGATGTTTCTGTGTCCTTTGGGTAAATACCTAGGAGTGGAATTGCTGGATCCTATGGAAGCTCTATGTTTAGTAGGTCAAGAAATCTCCACACAGTTCTCCATAGTGGTTGGACCAGTTTGCACTCCCACCAACAGTGCAGAAGAGTTCCTTTTTCTCCACACCCTCGCCAACATTTGTTGTTGCTAGTTTTTTTATTATGTGCCATTCTCACTGGTGTAAGATGGTATCTCATGGTAGTTTTGATTTGCATTTCCCTGATTACAAGTGATGTTGAACATTTTTTCATATGCCTGTTGGCCATTTGTATTTCCTCTTCAGAGAAGTTTCTTTTTAGCTCTTCTGCCCATTTTTTGACTGGGTTATTTTCTTTGTTGTTGTTGAGTCTCATCAGCTCTTTGTAGATTTTTGTGATCAGGCCTTTATCATTAGTGTGGGGTGCAAAAATGTTCTCCCAGTCAGTGGGGTTTCTCTTTGTTTTTGTTATTGTCTCTTTTGCTGTGCAGAAGCTCTTTAATTTGATGTAGTCCCAGCTGTTTATCTTTGCCTTCACTATCACTGCTTTGGGTGATGTGTCTGTAAAGATGTCTTTGATATGCAAATCACATAGTGTTTTGCCTATATTTCCTTCTATATATTTTATGGTTTCAGGTCTTATGTCTAGTTCTTTAATCCATTTTGAGTTGATTTTTGTGTATGGTGTGAGGTAGTGGTCAAGCTTCATTCTTTTGCATGTAGCGACCCAGTTTTCCCAGCACCATTTATTGAACAAACTTTCTTTGCTCCAATGCATAGTCTTTGCTCCTTTGTCAAAGATTAGTTGACCATAAATCTGTGGGTTTATTTCTGGATTTTCTATTTGATTCCATTGTTCTGTATGTCTGTTCTTGTTCCAATACCATGCAGTTTTGATGATTATGGCTTTAAAAAGCCTTTTAACTAAAGAATGAAATGTTCCTTTGGATATTTCTCTCTCTCCCACTGCTCCTGACCTGCACAGCCTATGCAGACCCGTGCTCTTTCAGTCACACAATGATATTCTGTTTATTTGCACCTGTGCTAGGTTCATATTTTTGAATATTCTCCCTTTCCTTTTTCTCTTAAGTTTTGCCTGTCATTTAAGCTTGAGTTCCTTTTTTTCTAAATCCCACAGCATTTCTGGACTATGGGACAGCTAATCATAGTATGAAACATAATGTCAGATAATATAATATACTGTATTATAATTAGATAATTATAATAATGCCTCTGAGCATCTGATTGTGATAATAAAATCAGACAATTACTGAGTGCCTAAGCTGAGCCACATATATACTGAATCTTCCTTGATTCTCACCTGACCTAGCTTATGATCCAGCAAACAAGTGACAACTTAGACAAAAGGACTACTTTAAGATCACACAGCTAATAAATTATGAGTCTACCTTTCATCCTCATCCAAAGCTCAAATTCTAGTCCACCCTACTGATCCCAGCTCCCCTACCCTTTGTGCGCATGTCTGTGCATGCATTTGTAATTTGTTCAGCATGAGTTGACTTCCTCCAACTAAACTGCATGTACATCAACACCAGGAATCCTGTTTTACCATTTTTCCTTTTCACAAGAATGGGCTGGGCAGAACACAAAGAACAATCTCCTTAGCACTGCTGATCCCCAATGAACAAGTGTGTCCTTTAGCCTTGCTTCTGCTAGACCTTCAAATAAAGGTGCAATTTAAGAAAAATTTTCTTTATGCCTGGTGTATACCGGGTTCTGTGTAACCTGCTGTCATTGGTTTATATGATTCTATCCTCACGACAATCCCTTGGACAACATATTATCCTCACTCTATAGATAAAGAAACTACAGTTTAGAAAATTTTAATAACATCCAAAATAATTTTCCTCATAGGTCTCTTGATTTTAAATGCCCTTGTCTTGCCACAGTGTCTCTGCTGGTCCCAAGGTCCTGTCCTCTAACCCTAAGTCCAATCACTATGCCAAAACATGCCCCAACTTTGATTATTCTATGCCAACTTGTCCTGAAGTGACCCTTGTAGACTTTCTACCCATGAGGCTCTCTCTACTCATTTATTTCTTCATGTTTCTGTTCAAATTTCACTTCCAATCTCAAGCTCTATTGAGATAAATCATTCTATCTTATCCTCTTAACAGTTCTCATCTTTGCACATGGCTCAAAGAAGAATATATTTTCTGATTTATTATACCTTTCATTCTACTATGTCTAGGTCTTTGCTTTGTTCATATAACTCCCCAAAACATTCAATATATTAATACACTATAAGCACATTAAATGTTATAGAAACCCACTGTATATTTACTGATTGATTCTTTTATCAGTCTAATGGAAAGGGAGAAGAGAACATTTGCAAACTTCAAATTGGCTAGAAATATTGGACAAGAGCATTTTTCCTCTTCAGAAATTAGGAAACAATCTTATAGTTCTAAGTAGACAAAGTCCCAAGTTCAGAGTGCCCCTAATTCTGTTAAAGAATATGGTGCATCTATTAAACTCCATGAAATAATTAGTTAATCTTAACAAACAGACCAAAATATCTTGCCAATGGCATTTAGTAGAATAGCAATCTTAAGAAACAGGCCAGAAATACAGATTGAAGGAAAGAGAGAGACTAGTGTACAAGCATGTACCTGAGGAGGATTAAGATGAGAAATCAGGGAGATGCTTCGAGTTTCAGAACTTCTGGAAGGTGGAACACTTGATATATCAGCATTAGTGCAGGAATTGAGTACATGGGGAGATTTATTCCCAGCTTCTTTTAATTTTTGTTTCTTTCCTTCTGTGTCAACAAAAAAAATCAATATTATTAAGAAACATCATATTATCTAATATACAAACTTAAGTGTCAATGTTCAAAGAAAATATTTGCTTTTGAATCACCAGGAGTCTGAGTCCACTCTAGAGAGCAAAGACCCTTTGTTGCAATTGGTTGATAAGATGCTTTTTCTCACATAATAAAATGCCTAGTATTCACTGATAGGTAGAGGAACAGCACTTATAAATTTAGATCAGAAAAATTCTTGATATTGTACAAACTCCCAACTAATCTTTTAGACTGGAAAAAGAATGATTGCACTATTACATAAAATGATTATATAACAATAGTCATTAATCTCCACCACTGACACATTTTATTTGCTTCTGCTCATTGTTAAGTAGTTTAAAGACATTTCATAAATAGAAATGAAGACAAGTGATTACTAAATTAAGTATATTTATATTTTACTTCACAAATAATATAAATATAAAGTCAATATCCCATTGTTAGATATTAAGTAAGTTTTTACCACAATATAAAAAAGTGACTTCAAGCTTCTTTTTTGTATATTTCTGTGGTTTTCACAAAGTGTATATGTATCATTTTTATAATCAGGAGACAATAATGTCCTTTTAAATTGATTTAAAAATCATTTGTTAATAGAGGCAAAAAAGTCACTTCCCTACTCACCTCTATCATGTTCTAGGTTTGGCTACAGTGGGGATAGGGTTGGAAGTGGGGGGAGGGAGAGACTAGAGAGGGTAGGGGGTAGGAGGAGCTAGAGGGGAGGGGTGGGGGACACAGAGCTGTGGAACAGGGTGCTTTTTCTTTTCAGTTGGTCGAATGCTACAAACAGGTACCTGTGAGTGCCATGTCCCAGTTTTTTCTAACCAGCTCTTCCAGTATTTCTACCATATTTGTCCAGATGTTGTCAAACACTTCTGCCACTATCGCATCTTTGATACAGTCGTGAGGGGAAACTGGAGGAAGTCCATGCTTATGCCACCTCCTATGGCGCTGAGCTGGTTTTTGTTCAAGACAGTCATTGTCACTAAGGACAAAAAGCATTGGAGGTCAGCGTCAAAGGAATGCCGTTATCATGCACAGATATGTCTTTGTACATATGCACATAAAGCTAGCAGTCTTTTAATGCAGCTCATCTCTATTTTTAAACAATTTATAAACACGAGGCACATTTTTATTATACAATATTTGTAGCTTTTGAGAATCAAATATGTATTTAGTACAGAGACTAAAACTTTACCTTGCCCTTCAATGCAGGCAAATAGAGCATCTCAGACGCCACTAGGCCCCCGGCCACTAGCAGCCTTGTCCACTTTCACCAGCATCTGACCACCATTCTCATGTCTTACCTATGCCCTGTGGTCAGATATGAAGGGAGGTTCTGCTCTAGTGTACACACTTCCTGCCAGGAACCTAAGAACTTTCGGGAGCACATTGTTCATCTTTTGGAGAGGTGAAAAATACGTTCTCACACACAAAATGAAATGAGCACAAAATCAAAATAAAAGTCAAATAAATATCATATTATTAATGTCAAATGAAGTTTCATTTACTCTTCTTTTCTGTCAAAAGCGAAGTACTCTTCAGTATTTCCATCCACATCATAGACCTCTTCTTCTAGGGATGAACCTGTCATCAGGTCAGCTGCCCCCGGGCACCCCAAGTTTGGCAGGGCTGGGACCATGTGGGAGCCGGAGATGCATAACCTATGGGAGAAGCAGATGTGATATGGTGTGTGCACAGTGTCAAGAAAATAATGTTTGCGCAAGCATGGTAGCTCTTTAAATGCCCCATAAACTATAGCTCTGGAATAAAAATTCATTAAAAATTACATCTGGCAAAACTCATATCCTTAAAAGCAACATTTTAATGTAGTCATCACTAAAGTGTTTTCAGGGCTTCTCAAACCCTAAATTTTGGATACTCTTTTGCAGAACGAAGGGATGTCAATGCACCACCCCCAAAATGTGTGACTGGCATAGAGGGATTTATCAAAACCTGCTAATGAACAAATGACAGTGGGCTAGAGGTTCTATTCTTCTACCACTCCTTGGGGCTTAGGGTCCATCACAGTGAAAGCAGCTTTTGATTCTGCCTACCTTTCACAGAGGCTTTGAAACAATTTAAAGTTAACACCCTTGATATTTACATTTTGCACACATGCACCATGATTATCATCACCAATTTAAAATCAGAAGCATCATGTGAAAAAAATTTTCTGTAGTAGCTCTTCACTGAAATCTAAACTTCCAAATTGGTGGGACCAAGACTGAGATAGGCAAGAAATAGTATAACTAAAATGAAATTAAAAATACTTTTCCAGGGCCTCCCCGGTGGCGCAGCGGTTGAGCGCTGGGTTGCGAAGCTGCCCGCAGCCTCTGCAGCGTCGGTTCGATCCCCGGCTGCTCCCCGGCCACTGGAGGAGGGTCCCACATGGCGCGCAGACCTCTCCTGCCGCCCGCTGCTCCCCTCAGCAGTGTACTTCGGTCCTTCTACCTGCTCTGCTCCCCGCTCTGGCTCTGGTGAATTCTCTCACCCTCCCATGCTTCTGACTGTACCCAGTGCTTGTATAAATAAATAAATAAATCTTAAAAAAAAAAAAAAAAAAAAAAAACACTTTTCCAAAATAACTTAAAGGAGCTTACTCTCGGATGTTGCTGTTTCGCTCGCAGGTATTAAGAAAGGATTTGTGGGCTGCAGCCCGAGGCTCACTGCCCTGGAAGTGCTGGAACCCTTCATCACTCGGCAGGATCAGCTGTTTTCCTAAGATTCTGAAAGAGAGGAAAAAAGTAAGCTACTAATATTTGCATTAAAAAAAGGAAAGCATTTTAAAATTTTGAAAGTAGAATAATAAAATTTTTGAAGGAGCATGTCTGAAGTGATAAGGATACATATTTTGATGGGCAAGTGTTTTCATCAAAATGAACTGGAGTGGGTGGTTCCAACACCCATTCTAGGGAAGTATAATGAATAACTTTCCTACCTCAGGTGGAGGGATCTTCTCGCCCACTCACTGCATTCAGCTTGTAGATTCTGAGTCTGAGGGCTTACTTTCCCTTCAAATAGCATTTCCTCCACTTCCCAGAATAATTGCTGTACTTTCTGTGCACTGGCGTTATCAAAGTCCTAAAACAGAAAAACACATTTAGCGATAACATTAAGTCTAAACTTTAGTATAAACATTGTCTAAACATTGTAAATATATAGGCTTGATTATCAATGTAGCCTGTTCAAGAAAAGTATGGCATGATAAAAAGATTGTGGACTTTGCAATCAGATACACCAATTCTCCAATTTTTACTCTGCTGAGAAATTACATTCCAACCTCAGTCTCGGTTTCTTTAACTGTTAAATAGTGATAATTTCTACCACGAGTTATAAAATTTATTTAATATTTTTATACATAGAGATATAGGCATATGTATGAATACATATTGACACAGACATCCATATACATATACCTATACATTTATGCCCACACACATATGCTCATATATGTACGTGGACAAATGTCTCTCATTATTTGGGACTGACCCACCTAAGAAACTATAATATATAAACTATTTTTTTGTCTTATGCTAATATACTGAAAAGGAAATTTCTTAGAAAGAGCCATTTGCCTTTTTTAATCAATAAAGAAAAATCTTTAGTTATCCCAGGAGATGTAGTGATGTGAGGCCAGAGTATTCATTTTTGTTGCTTGACCTTAAGTTCTTGGATTGTGACTGTAGTGAGCTGTAGTGAGAAAACCTCTGAGTCTTTGGGCATGTGCTTAGGAGGTAAAACTAAAATATTCAACTTAGGATACTAAAGGGAAATTTCCTAATTACAATGATTGTTTACAATTTTTATTTTTCCTAATTTTTTCTTTCATTTAATCCTAATTGTCAGAGTCTGTTCTGAATTTCCAGCCATACTATCATGCAAAATCATATATTTCATACTGAGATGGAGGGTTAGAAGGTGGAAAGAACAAAATTATCAACAGCTAAGACTCTGGGTTATGAGATCATGAGTGATTTTGAACTTTCCTACATTTTCTATATTTTTAAATTGCTATGTGTAACATAGAAATGCTTGTATATGCATGTGTGCAACTGGTAATGCTTTTTATGTGGGTAAAAAGATTTTTTTTGATTCTCCATTCTAATGTGTAAAATGTGTATAATCCTAGAATTATCCAAAAATATTCTGAGACCTACATCATCTCTCCAAGAGTAAACTGAGCTCCTCTCTGTAGATAAGCCAGTGGTTGAACTCTGGGTCCCAGACCAAGAGTTGTGGGCTTCTGTGGGTGTGGAGCTGCCACTGGATGAAAGAGATGACACGGATGTGCTGCAGGAACAAAGGAAAGGGATATCAGTACCACTTACTGGGAAGGGGCTCTGAGTCTCCTCCCTCCTTCAGGTCTGATTTAACCATATAAGAATTTAAAGATGTTTAATTGCATAGCAAACTGATGCTAAAATTATTTTTGCAGTGTTAACATTTCATTCAGCTGAAAACAAAACTGCCTCTTACAATTTTAGAAATTCATATCCAATCACTAATTTTGCTTGCTCCCTTTGTTATGGGCATGTCTTAATTTTTCAATGAGAACAATTAGCAAGTTAATTCTTACCAGGTATATTTATCAATGGCTTTTTGCACATTTCTTGTAAAATCTGTAGGTAAAGGATCTTTGCTTTTCACAGTAGAGCTATGCTTTCCAGATCCCTCTGACAGTCCTTTTCTGGAAAGAAATATATAATAAAACATGAATAACATCTCTAATATATTATTATAATTATATTCATTAAAATTTTTAAAATTTCCTTTTGAACAAAGTTGCTTCACTCCTCATGCCATGTCTCCCTCAATGCACACACACACACACACACACATACATACACATCACGCATACACACATCACATATATTGAAGAAACTGAGGTCTAGGACATCACCATCTCTTTGTGAAGATGATAACCTTAACCTACCTATACCTTTTATGTAAACTGGGAAAAATAGACAACTCTTGTGACTCAGTCGGATAAAAGTTCCCCAAATGCTAGGTGGGCAGAACCTGACTACAAAGCATAAGACTCAGCAAGTGAAACATGGACTGGATTTCAGGTCCCATTTGTCCTTTAACCAGACATTGTTTACTTGCAAAAGTCACCCAGACTTCCAGAAGAGATGGTTAATTCCAGACTGACTTCTTTGAATCAGTAAACACAAAGAAAGAAAAGAAATGACTGAAACACATAAGCGATTCACTTTAGTTTGGTGTTCGTGTTTGATATGTATGATTTGTAGAGAGCTTTAAAATATTAAAAGTAATGGAAAACTAAAGAGAAGTTCTAAATTTTAAATAAGATTAAACTTCACTAGTGTAGCACAGTTAACGTTAATCATTAAAATGTCCTTTCAGTGAACCTCTTAAAATATTTACTTCCCTCTAGTCAAAATAACTTCCTAATGTTAAACAGAAGTTAACTTCTATTCTTTTAGAAATCATGTTTTCAATATAAATAACACACATTACATTAACTGAAGATATATAGTGGTGATTTGGAGAGAAAAGTCAACTTTCAACATTTCTAGCATTACTTAAATATGTTAATTTTGCCTAGGTACAATTAATGTTGTACCTAATTTTTATAGTTGTATTTCTGAATGTAAATGAGTTAAAAAAAATACATCACCATTAAAGAATAAATTCTGCTTAACTATGTGCCTATAGTACTTTACAACATGGGATTTTAAAAAAATTAAATACTATAAACAGAGGTTAACAAGAACCTCAACTTTTCTTACATATATCTTGTATAAGTAAGAAAAATAGAATTATATAATTCCCTTCTCTTATTGCTCATGTTGTAAGTACAACCAAGTAATTCTGAGGGAAAAGGTGTTACCAAAAAAGTACCATAGAAAAGAATATAGGACAAGCTTTTATGTCAATGATCTGCTTTATCTTTCGCCCTCTTCTGCTGTATTAAAACCACCAATTATTTATCATTTACATGTGACTCAACAGCTTTTTAGATAAATAATATATGACACAAAAATAGGCAATCAGCTAAAAACTTATATCAAATATATCTGCCTTGAACATTAAGCAATATAAGTTAATTTGTTTGTTATTAAGAACTGATTTTAAATCTCAGGGGGGCAAAGTCTAAATATCTGTTTATATATTATATTATTCCTTCATAATATCCATATAGTAATAAACGCGGATCCGAATCTTGCTCTGCTACTGACAGGCTATGAGCTTTAAGCAAGTTAATTCTCCTAGACTCAATATCCACATCTGTAAAACAGAGACAATATTGTCAAAATTTTTGTACAGTTGTTGTGATACTTAAATTCGAGAAAGTAGGTGAAGTGTCTAGATAATCAGTGCTAAAGAAATCCTATCTAAGATTTGCATTCTTGCTCACCTCAAAGGGAGGCTGAGCACAGGGGTCTGGAGATGTGGAGGTGTTGGGGACTTACTCTGAAAGGAAGGCCTTATAGCACCTTTGACTTCCACACCATTTCTCCAACCTTTTCCTCCTCTCCTCTTCCCTATCTCAACTCCTTTAAAGAGTCTAGATTTCTGGGAAACTTCAGAGCTCAATATTAATAACATATACCTGGGACCACAGAATTCAGGACTCTGAAGTCAAATTTGAAGCCATTACCTTAATCGTGGCGCAAAGTCACCAAGAAGATAGAAAGCTGGTCCCAGGGCCCAGGCCGCCTGACCTGCATGTCTCCAGGAACCACAAGTTACTGACATTATGAAACAAATCTAAAAATGTGCCTTTTCTTTTTATGTCTTATTTTGAGTCTTTCTCTGTCTTCTAGCCATGCACCATACTGTTATTTCATCATAAACATGAAATATTAACTATCAACAGCCATATAATCTGTGCAGTCTTAAGAAAGTGATAGCCTATACTCTTAAAACTTGAATATGATAAAATGTCTAACAGTTTAACATTAATTCCTATCTATGTTGCTTAAAATTTACATATAAGGCTCATCATTTAGGGACAGGATGCAGGTTTTAGGATAGACTGAAGTGCAACCACTGAGCTATATTACCCAAGTTCCATGCTGTGTTACAGTTATGACTGAGCCCCAAGCTGCACGACCCATTCCAATTGTCAAAGAAATGACTGCATCACCAATTTTAATGTTTAAAATTTGCCTCCTGACAGTCCAGAAACTTCTGCCACTTCATCCTATAGAGATTCAAGTATTAATCAGTGCTCACAGCCTTCACTATTTTGTGTTTCTTTGAAATGATGGTCTGACATGGGCGCTGCATTCTGAACGGGTGGAGTGCAGGCTTGTTGGCTGGGCAGACTGTTCCCTACACTGTTGCATTTCCCATAACACAGGCTGCCTGACTTCTCACAGATGGGTCCCTAGGATAGCCTCCGTTTTGGGGACTGATGGAGGATTCATCTCAAAGCCATTCATCTCTAGCAATAGCTTTACTTCTCCTGGGAAAGCCTGATGATGTCAGCACGTGAGATTCATGAATGCAGGAGGGAAGCCGACCAGGCGCATTTGGCTCTGCAGGCAGGGCAAGATCACGCCCTTGGCACAAAAATATTACAGAATAGAAGGTTCACCCCCCAAAACCCCCCTCCCCGCCCCTTCCCGGACAAGACTCACCCAATCACAATCAGCCCCAGGCCTGGGCTCTCCTCCTCAAGGCCCGGCCCCGAGCCCCGGGCCTGGGCGCCGCCGGGCGCTGGCATCCGGCGCGGGTCCACCGCGGGCGGCGGGTGGCCGCGCGCCCCCGCGCCGGGGCTCCCCGCCCGCCCAGCCCTGCGCCCCCCGCCCCGCTAGCCCTGCCCCGCAGCCCAGGCGCGCCCGGGAAGCGCGAGCCCCGAGCGGCGCGTCCAGGGGCGCTCCGGGCCGGGTCTGCACGGCCCAGGGGCGCGGCTGCTCGCCACCGGGCGTCCGGCTCCGCTTCCCCCCTCGGCTCCTGGGGCCCCGCCAGGGCCAGATTCCGGCGCGGCGGGGCGACGCCTCCCGTCCCAGCTCACGCCCATCCCTCTGCTTCCCTCGGCCGCTGCACCCCTCGCCACGTCGGGCGGCGCCAGACGGCGGGCCCCGGGCTCCCCGCCTCCAAGGCCGGGTGCGCTCCCCACTCCCGCCCGCTGACGCGCGGGCCCAGAGCCACGGAAAAGCACGTGGCTCCCCTCCCCGCTGGCGGAGGCCGGGGTCCCTAACCCAGTGACCTGAGCTTTGCTGCCGGCCACTCCACGCTGGCACCGCCTCTCCGCCCCCCGGGGGCTTCAGTGTGCGGGGATCCGCTGCCCTCGATTCTTCTAAAAGAATTTTAACCAACAGGGGGAAGGCCCAGAGTTACAATTCAGCTCCCATCAGAGTATTCCCGGTGAGCAATGGCTGGGGAGGGGGTGCAGTTGTAGAAGAAGCCAAGTTAAAAAAAAGATTACAGTCTCAGACCTGCGCTAGGCAGCATGCAGGTCCAATTAACAGGTACTCCAGGTCTCATTTTGCACCAGAGATTGAGCTCCTTTCAGTCCTGTCTCTCCATCTTCCAGTAGATGCTTTTGTTTCATTCAGTCGAGTACATTTTCTACAATCCAGAGGATATACCTGTATTTTTGACTTCTTAATATGTGCTAGTTTCAATTTTGCAACCATACAATTATATTAATACCAGTGCCATGGGACGCTCCGTTGTGAAGAAGCAAAATGACCAAACCACAGTTTCATAAACTAAAAGAAACAGCGGTTAGCTGAAGTAAAATGCATTTTCAAATTGCTGTGAGCATTCTCTTTTGAGATCTCAGGCATCTAAGCCTGAACAGGAACGAAGAGGCTGGCTCATTTCTTCTGCTCAGAATGTTGCACTTGTACAGAAAAACCATGTCCTTTCCATTTATCAGTGAAAAATTCAGCTGGTTAGTTTGCATTCAGCTTCTCATGGACAACCCTAAACTGATGATAAGACACCGCTATGAACAACAAAACAATAACTCATTTCTTGAATTCAGGATACTAGAATCCTTACCACTTAAAGTGGTGACTATATCCTAAAATTAATGAGATTTTAAATTATTTTACAAATATACCATATGATGGTATTTGAAAAATATCTGCATATCTGCTAGTGCTACTTTTATGTAAAAGGAGGTATAGATACGATAGGGAAACAAAAGAAAGTAAAAAGAACATCTGATCCAAACATATGCTAGTTGATTTACACACACATTATTCTGTTTTTTAACACACGTGCTAGGAATGTGCTATTATCCAGTTTTACTGATGAAATGACTGAATGCAGAGAACTTAAGTAGCATGTTCAAGGTCATTGAACTAGTGGTATGATATGTGCGTCCCAGGTATTTACTACTACGTAAAGAACCACCTCAAATTTGGGGAAATAAAATAATCATTTTGTTATGCTCAATCCACCAAATTCAGGAATTCTGGCAAGACCTGACTGATTCTTCTGCTCCCAGTGAAAATATTGACAGGATTTATTCAGTGATATTCAGCTAGTGACAGGCCTGGTCTGCAGTGTCCTAGAAAGCTCTAGCACTTGACCACATTATCTAGCACTTTGGGATAGGTAATCACTGGAAAGTTGGGTGCAGCTGGGCTCCTCTCCCAAGTTGTCTCATGACCTCTGCAAGCAGTCTTTCCAGCAGGGTAGTCAGAACTCATATGTGGCAACTTTGGGTCCCAAGAAACTGAGGCAGAAGCTGTCAACTCT